AAATGGATTTGCAAAAGAATTTGATATCGGATAAGATCTTGGTATGTTATGAATGTAAATCAGCGTGTAATTTAAGTCTATCAAGAAATAGAGATGAAAACTTAAAAGGCTGACAATAGCAAGAATGGTATACAGATGGGGCAGAAGGCAAACAACAGGGACAATATTCATGTCAAAAAAGAAAGAATCCACAAAATAACCCAGAAGCCAGGACACTTACAACTCGACGAAGAATAGGTTCCAATGATGAGCAAAGCTTCTGCAAACTGTCCACTTTTAGAGCTTCTACTATTACACTGGAAAATAAATGCCTATCAGTAAAGAGAAACTAATAGGAGAAAATCAGAAAAATAATTTGAATAATAAAGGCTAAACAATAAAATAAAATATTGTGACCTCCCTAGGACTTGGCATTAGATGCGAGAACCTCCCTTCTGTTTAGAAAATGCACATGGACCACTTTTATGAAGCAAGAACATGACCGTTTAGCCCTTTTTACATATCAAGGGCAATAATCCCTAATTCTCATGCAGTTTGTGAGCATCCATAAGGAGATTTCATATAGACAAGGATGTTCCCATCGCTTGTCTAAGTTAACATCAATTCATCCACTACCCAATTGTAGGGTTAAAACAAACGATGTCAAGTTCAAAGTTGATTCCAAGAATAAACCATATTCAGAATCTAGATATCACTTCAGCAACTCGGTTGTCAATCATTTAAATGACATGGTTAGCAATAAAACCTTATTTCAAGGTCAAGAGGCTTGAGCCTTGGAGGTAGAGGGGAATTGAAATGGACCAGTCACTGGGCTAACTAAGAAATAGGGGGAGTCCTTTAGTAGGACAAGAGAGCTTGATCCAGAGATCTATCTTCTTTGGGGGAGTCACCTTGGTATTTGGTATTTACAGAATATAAGACAGAGTTCTTAGCATAAAAGCATTCCTACTGAGCTTAAAGGTTTCTGAGAAATCTCGGAAAAAGTGTTCATAGATCAATTGGGTATGAGAAAACGTTAGTTTTAAAGCAAATGAGTTCTAGAAAGAACTAAGAAAGTGTAAGTCTAAAAGTGTGCGAGTGTTCTCTCTAAAGGCCAGGGCAGGGAGGTTCTATTCATAGTGATGTCAGCATACCCCAGGTATAAATAAAAGCCATTTTGGTGGAAATGTTCACTGAGCTCCTGCAACAAATATAAAGGCTACCACAGCCTCAAACTCTGCTAACGAGGAGCAATCACAACTGGAAAGTAGCAGTATGATGTAAGACCATGGTACCTTTCCCCTTACAAACAACTAGCAGGACAGTTTAGGGAATATAACTAGGAAGAGAGGCATAATATGAAAATATCTTCAGGAACAAGCAAATTGTTCAATAATAGTGGCAGTGGCATTACCCCTACCTAACTCTAACTGGACCAGTAACAGAAATTATATAGAACCAATTAGCAGAAGGAAGAATTTTCATTACCTGGCAAGAGCAGGCCTCTTTCTTTCAGGCTGCTCATCTTCCCCACTCTCCAGTGTCCTTTTTCCCATACCAATTGCGTTCCGCTGCATTTACACTTCCTTTCAATACCACAGATTAACAGATCTGCAACCACGAAAACCACAATGGTCAGCATTCTCAACTAGACTATCAAACCCTAGCTGCTACAGTCAGAAGAAAAAAATTTATATTCACATCAGATCTCAAACAAGTCAAATTGAAGCCCAATCAAGAGAGAGGGAAACCAATCAAGCAAATTGTAGCCACAGATTCAGTGGGGAGGGGAAAGAAACTTCAACAATTGAACTCACGGAGAAAATCAACTTGATTATAATTGGAGGAGGAGGAGAAGGAGTAGAGAGAGAAAGCTAATATAGAAGCGGGAAAACAAAGGAACAATACCTGAGAGAGAATTTTGTAGTGTTTGGTGAGAGGGCGAGAAGTTCGAAATCATGTAATGTTGAAGTTACATAAACTCAGAGAAGTGGTCTTCGCACTTCGTTGTTCGTATTACTGTGGTCTTCTCTGGCGACTTGTGGCTGAAGTGAGGAGTAATCAGCCGCTCAAAGGAACACACGGAAGTCCTCGTGGAATTGATCAGTTTATGTCCAAGACACAAATTTCGATCAATTTACTAGGCTAAGATTGCTGGTCCACGATAGTGGGGGCATCAGCATGGTATCTGAATATTACCCTTGGATTAAGGTCCAGTATAATGGTTTGGTGGCTCATCTGGGAGCCGTTGAAGAGTAAAACGAGACGGGCAATCGCAGCCGTACGTTGGTCACTGCTGGACACTAGACAAGCCTCGTAATAGGACCTGATGACGTCGTCTGATGATATGGAGATGACATCGTCTTTTACTTTTATTCATTTTATTAAGGTATTAGGAAAAATATCGATAAAGATCACGTGAACAGACTTATTTTAAATTAAAGCCTTTAAACTTATAAAATATTTCGGCAATTCGAAGAACTTAATTTAATATTAAAAATTTAAAAATAAACATACAATTGTTCTGGTTTAAATTAATATCAAAACTACACCATTTTATTTTTTACAAAATATTATTTATTTTTTTACTTCATTTGATTTCATTATAAGTGTTTAAATCATTTTAAAATAATTTATTGATAACTATATTATATGTTATTTATTTAGTTATTGATTATTATTCATTGTCCTCCTTCACTCGATCATTACCTTACCTTCACTTGATTTCATTATAAAGAAATAAATAAATAAAGTAGAACAATAAATAATATTTTATAAATAAATAAATAAATGAAGTAGAAAAATTTTAATATCAATATAAATAATAGACAATTTTATCATTTTATTAAAAAATTTAATATTAAATTATGACCTATGGACTGTAATAATATTTTAAAAATTTAAGAGTTTTGATTCAAAATAAGTTTGATCAATAAATCTTTATTGATATCTTCATATAAATTAATATATGTATATATAAGCAAAAGCAACTCACAAGTTTAGCCAAAAAAATCAATCATTCATAATGCAGAAAATGGAAATTTGAATTTTCCTTGAGATAAATGTATAAATTTAATGTGTCTTGAATATAATTATTTTTAATAAGAGAATATTTATAAACAATAAATAAATCCTCTATTATTATTTATTTCTCTTCATAAAATAACGTACGATGAGAAAGCAAAGTAACTGTATTCAATAAGAAATATTTTTTTCTTTTAAATTCTACCCTTCATTTGATATCACACCATCTCAAATATCCCTTCTTCGCTTCATCTAACACGAGTATTATTAAAAATAAGTATGTACGACAAAGATAATAATTAATTAATTATATCTTGAAATTCGAAACATGACAGATATCTAAAAATAAAATAAAAATTTAAAATGAAAGCAAGTAAATAAAATAGAAGAAGTGCAATACTATAAAACAAAAAGTACTCTATTTATAAGTGATAAAAAAAAAAAAGGCTTGTCTGCATATGAAACAAGCATCCACGATTCAAATTTTTTTAAAGAATATCATTACACACTTCAACTGATTGGTAATTGTTCTTGTGAATTTACTCTTCACTCAATAATTGAACCGCTGGATGCATCCTGATGTTACATGGTACTTTTTTTGTTTAATAATGCAGAAAACATACATTAAAAACCAAATAGCTTACAAACCCTATCTAGTTTAATAGGAGAGGAGGATTACTTATCACTCTCTAACCCTTGTAAGAGTGTTGGAGGATGATAAAAAATATTAAAGTTCTTATCAAAAGCATAAAAATTTTTAGCTAATCTATCTGCCAATGTATTATTTTCCCTAAAAAGATGAGAGAATTCTAACTTCAATCAATGGGATAGCATTTTTGTGCCGGCAATAATGTCTCCAAAAGGACGTTCATCATAGCAGCCCCTAGTTATTACATTAATAGCCTCAACACAATCTGAAAAAATCTGAACTTTCTTGTAACCACAACTCTAACACAAATTAAGTGCTTGAAAGATAGCCAGTATTTCCACTATGGCCGGTGGTATGGATAAGAGTTTACAGTTAAAATCCTTTTCTTTTTCCACCTTACATGGTACTCTAAGAATGATAGGTGTTAATGAATAAGATTCTCACATGTTACTTTACTTTTTCTTTTTCCCTTATTTTCTATTCTTACAAATAATAGCCAACTTTGGCCACCCAAAGAAAGGGGGAAATATAATCGCCCAACTGTGTTATTTTTTCCACCAAATGTTTTTTTTTTTATACAAGAAAATTTAAATACAATGAGTCTTAAAAGATTGGTCAAATCAAAACTACAATCAAAAGGTCTCATAGCTTAAAAAAAGAAAAAAATGATAATAAAATCCCTTCAACCTATGTAAATAACAATTTAGTATCTTGAAATCCCATAATATCAATAAAATCTCTCAGGATCTTTTTTTTGATATAGTGAAAAGATCACTTTACTTTTATTGATAAATTATAATTTTTTATTCAATTATTACATTTTTTAAAAAAAGTTACAATTCTTTAAACAAAAATTGTGAATGAAGTTTATTATTTTAAAAATTTGTTTTTTTAATAATAATAATTACATTTAACAAATTGTAATTTTTTATTCAACTCTTCAATTCACAAAACAAAAGTTGTTATTGGAGCTTGTTTCTCGATAGCAAAAATTACATTTAACAAGTTATGATTTTTTATATAATTTTTGATATTTACAAAATAAAAATTGTAATTCCTTAAATAAAAATTTTATTAAGTCTTGTTATTTTTAATAAAGATAAAATGATTATTTTCTAAAAAATTATAGACAAAAAAATCTTAAAAATTTCATTGGTATTATGATATTTTAAAGGATCAAATTATCATTAACATAATTCAAAAAGATTTTATTATTATTTTTTCTTAAAAAGCCAGTTCGTAAAAAATACTCATCTTATTAATATTATAATAAGATTCATTGGCCAAAAAAAAAAACACATACACACACACGCACAAAGAAAAAAAAGAAAAGAAACAAGATTCAAACTTGACATAATAAGTGTCTGGATTTGTCCCCCAGGTATATCCAATACAATTGGATCAAATCTGGACAAGTTTACATCACAGCACCACAAGTTTTGCTTTACATTGAAGGCCCATCAAGGCAAATGCAAGCAGCTGAAACTGTCCCTGTCGGACGTCACGCAGATATCGGTAAGGTGTTTGCCAAATATCCATATAAATCAGCAAAAATTAAAACCAAGGACCAAAATGAAAAGGGGAAAAACAAAAAGCTAACTAATTTTAAGCCTTAAAATAAAATGTTGCAACGAAGACATGGCATTGAGCTTCGAGAAAAATGTAACTTCTAAGTTTCAAGTCTACACACAACATCAGATGTGCTCTATTTCCTGCTTGCGGCTAGCTAAAACCAAAAGTTACAAGTTCATGACTCAGAATATTTATCTATGGACTTTTGAGTAAATTCTTCAAGTCTCTGGTAAAGTTTGACAAGTAACTCATTGCAAGTTTGGGGAGGAGTGCAGGGTCCACACATGAGATATATGACATTGCCCAGAGGCCTCATGTAAATGCCATCATCACGAAGGTTCTGAAGAAGGGATCTTGCGTACAATGATCCATACCTGTGAATTTGACCATTAGTATCACTGACCAAAACAGAAAATGAACTTGACAATTACTGTCAAACCTCATGAATAATGAATAGTAGAGAATGAACTACACAGTTTTTAACTCTGACCATTATTCTTCTTCGTGTGGCCTTGCGCACATAAACATGTTTCTGTTTTTCTTTTTTCCATATTGAGGGGGCATGCACAATGTCTAAGCTCATAATCAATTAGTTATTTGGTAGGGATTCTAAGCTAATTAACACTAACAATGTTTGGAAAGTCGAAACAACAATCATAATCGTCAGTGATTTATTAATAGTAATCAACCTCTCACGTGCTAAAATTCTAAGCTAAAATTCTTTTAATTTTTCCTTCATGTGCTACAACTGGACCAATACTAATCAACCTCTCATGCTAGTCAAGTCATTTTTATCAGCAATCAAGGAAAGTGATTACCAGATTTGACTCAAGGAGGCACGTCAACAAAATGGTCAAACTTAAAGCTGTGACCCACGAAAAGACCGAATAAATCAGGAATAATTGTGGGTACATCAGACCATAATTTTTCTTCTCGGGTGTAGAACATTAATTATAGTTGTACACATAATGTTAAGGCCACATTAACATAAGTAAATGCATGGTGGCATGAGAAAATATAAAGTAGGTAGAAATATCCCCATGCTAGAGGTTACCCTCAAGCAAAAAATGTAAATAAATACAGTTAGGTCCCATTTGGTTGTTAGAAATGATAGAAATTGAATGAATTGAAAAAAAATCAAAATAAAAATGAATTCAATCACCCTTTTTCCTTTCATAATAAACACGACAAAACTCAATACTATACATCACAAATGTAAAAATCATCACACCCTTCACAAACCTCACGAATCACAACCCCTAACCCCATGAACTAAATTACACTTCCCCCTTATGGATATGGTTATCACTCCTCTACATTTTGATCATTTTAAATATTTTTGCCTTTATTTTCTCAATCAATTCTATTCCTTTCTAACAACTAAACGGGCCATTACAAATACCAAAATACTCCTTCTGGTCCTTATTATAGGAAATTTTCAATTGTTTCATGCATCTAAAGAAAAATTAGTTTTTTTCTTGGTATCATAAAAAAGTGAGATGTACTTTCATTTTTACCCTTGACTTTGAATGATAATACAACTATACTAAATACCTTCACGCTAATCAAGAAGGAATAAAATTGAAAAAAGCAGTTTAATTATTATAAGATGTTCTATATTTTGAACCAAAAATTATTTCTAGAAGGTACCTTACAAAGAACCGGGGGGAGTATAAAGAATAATTTGCCCATCCCTTAAATTGCAACGGTACCACAAACTTCAGAATCAGTGTTACAATGATATATATTGCTTATTAACATTGTCTAATGCTGGCAAAAACAAAAGCTAGTAACTGGAAAAAAAATATAAACATTATTCAAGGGAAATCCTAGAATTGAGTGTTGAGAGGATTTTATTAAAAAAAAGGAGGTCAAGTAAGTTTGTGAAATGATACCCAGCATTCTGGCCTTCCGCTTTAAGTTCCAAGGCACAAAGAGTTCCTAATGCAACTACTCTTTGAACAGCTGGGAGTGATGAAATCTGATCAACAAGTTTAGCATCCCATAACTGCAAATTTAAGGCTACAGATAATATATCAATGAGCATTCCAAACAGCGAACACAAGAAGCTATATTAAAGCAACGATTTAGAATTTCACAAAGACCACAGCACAAAAAATGGTTACAGAAGATGAGGTTTTGTATGTTTGATGTGAAAAGATATGGAATTCATGATTGATTCCAAGCCCGTATTAAGTGGGGGAATGAGTTAATTAATTTCATTAGACATAGTTATGATTTTATATTTGGAATTCAATGTCAACATTAAAACAAAATGGAATAGAATTGTAAGTAATTCCAATCTTGATAGAACCAAACACGGCGACAGTAATTATCATCCCATTCATATCCTGCAAAAATTGATTCTGTATACCAATCACTCTTATTTAATGAACCAATTCTTGATTTAATTTGATCCAAGAGACAAAACAGAACATCTGTTTATAGATTGTATACCGCTAAAAGTAAATTCCGTACACCCTTAACAAATATAATTAAAAAAATGCAGACAAAAAATATGCATTTATGGAGGAAGAAACTGATATTAAAAAAAAAAATTGTAAAAAATCAAAACGAACTGTGGTAATCTGACCTCTCTAAGTAACCTTCCATCAGAACTGACATTAGGATTTAAACAAGGGTCTTTAAACCACTTGATTGATTTAGCTGCAGCCATGCACCCCATAGCATGTGCAGAGTAAGAATGCCCATGCAAAAGAGCCATCAACTAACCAAAACGAAGAGAATGCATCAATTAATAAGCCATAGAAGGACTGTACAGGAACTTTGCTTGGCATACAGAAAAAAAAAAAAAACAAGCAGGACCAAAAGGCAAATAAAAACATTCATTAAAAAAAATGAGAATTTCAAAATTTCAGGCAAAGGAAATATGCGTGCGTGCGTGCGTGCGTGCGTCTCGTGTACATTTCCTCTCAAGGCAGAAAAAGGGAGCTGTAGAGCTAAAAGATTTGCTTATAGCCATTACTCAAATCATATTTCTTTCCATACACCACAAGATAATTCTATCACATGAAGAAAAACAATCTTTACAACTAATAAGATATTGCCAACAAACCTCGTTCCTCTTGATAAGAGATTTGACTCAAGTAACCACAACAATCTGGAAATTAGAAACTTCATTCCAGAAAAACCAGGGCATTGAGATTTTCTTGCTCAACACGCAGATAAGAACAAGAAGTAATATAAAAAATATCAGGAATTGAGATACAAGCCTAAGTCCATTTTGACCCTCCTCAGTAGTTTACACAGGTCAATTGAGGAAATAAAATTCAAAATGGACAAAAAGTGTCCATCTTATGATTTAGACTTATGATGAATCAAATTAAATCAAAACGAAATGATGGATTTATTCTAAAGTATGATGACTAGGATTTAGGAAACCCAACAAGTCAGCCTCAAAGAATAACTTTCAGAAAAAAATGCTATACCTTTGAGTCTCCAACAAATGAATCAAACACAGCATCAGTTGCCAAAGTGACAGCCAAGGGTATAACACCACCTGTCATCAGCTTCCCAAAGCAAGCAATATCTGGTATGCAATGAATTAGCTCCACAGTAGTCTGTGAAGAAATATAAACTGTCAATTACTTAAAAGAAAGTACAGTTCCTAATTGCAGAAAGAAAACAAAGTCCCTAAGTGCAATCACCTCAACTCCCAAACGCCAGAAACCAGTAAAAACTTCATCAAAGATCACAGGAACTTTTCTTTTCCGACACTCATCAACAAGTACACGCTGAAAAAGTGGATCAACCATGTGCATTCCCCCCGCAGCTTGTATAACTACAAACAGTTCAGGCTTAACATTAGAAGATCAAGACTGAAAAAACAACGCACATTAATGTTTAATTTCATCCAATCAGAAATGTTCACAAGAAACAAAGAAGAAGAACCAGAACTATGAGGTTTAGCCTTTATTAAAAGTATAAATCAAGTGAGGCACAACCTGCATGAAATTGAAACAGTTATTCGTAGCCCACCTCAGCTCTTACAATCAATGAATGCAATCAAAGTTGGAATATTCAGAGGCCTTCCAGAACATCTTGCAAAAGAAGATGCTTTGAGAAAGCATGATGATTTTCTGTATGAAAAATTTACATTTGCAAAGGTGGTTGCTATACTACGGACATACTATCAAGTTTAGACAAGTGGACTGGACTGATCTGAAGCATCTCTTGAAATTGAACAGGGCAAAGATGTTCATTTGGCCCAAAGTTTGGCAAATGACTATATTGCTATCTGAAGAACAGAATCAAGCCCGTTATGAGTTCTACAATTTGACAGCCAAAATTGGTGGCCGTTTGGTCATTGGAACATTCTAAATGTCTACTCCCTCCTGATCACATGTCATCGGTAACTAATTCACATTTTATGAAAAAATGTTAATTGGGACCTTATGTTTCTACACATGTCCATGTCTTTACATTTACACCCTTGAATTTTCCTAGTAACACATGCATGGTCTTTAAATATGAAGCATTTAAAGACAAGGAATAAAAAAACAAGGGTATGAATGGTAAAAAGAACATAAAATTTACTTAGTGCTCTATATTTTAGACAAAGGGGAGCTTATAGAAAGCAACTTATATTGTGATTCAGAGGGAGCATTTCCTTATGAATTGGATTTTTACATTATTCTAAATATTCTAGGATAAGTTAGGATATATTTTTAACAAGCTCCCAGAATAGTCAAAAGCTGGAATAGGTCTTGGAAGTTGCACCAGCTTGTGCTGCACAAAAATTGGCATTTATCTTTGTTATTTCCTATGCTTGGAAGATTTTTCCTAGTTATCTATCAATAGTTTTTAAGAAGTAATGTACAGAAGACTTGAATTTTGATTGATCAAAGAATTCAAAGAGCCTTTGCACTTCTTTCTATAACTTCTTGTTGGACTCCGTGGAGCAGTGAACGGGTGAAGAATTTCTGTATCTCTTTGGTGGATTCCATTGAGTGGTGACAGCAAATTTCATCATTCAGTTTTGTATCTCTAAGGAGGTGTCTTAACCTGTACCTTTGGAGTAGTGAACTTTTACTCATTCATTGCCAGTTTTTATCAAATCGTTTCTTCATATTCCAGTACAGGATTGCTGTGATTTTGGTATGGATCTTGAACTTCAGAATGTCTTTTTTTTTTTTTTACTAGTTTTGGAATCACTCCAATCCAAATTTCCACAGTGATTTCTGTTCTTTTTTCAGTGCTGTTTCATGTTCCAAAACAGCCATCCCATTTTTTTCCGGCAATATGAACAGAATGCAATAGCTGGGCCACAAAAGATAAATGAGAACAAAAGAAATTGAAGAAACATAACCAATTATCTTGCCTGGTTCCATAATCAATGCTCCAATACACAACCCTCTATTTCTAGAAAATAGTTCTGATATGTACGATGAATAAACTTGCGCAAGTTCTGACTTATCCCGGCCATCATAAAAGATTTCATCACGTGAAGCAAAAGCTGAAAACGTGTTAATTATGGAACAAAGTTCAGTCCTAAAATAAAATAATAAAACAAACAAAGTGACATTTTAAAATTAATAAAGAAAAATATTGAACAGGTGGAAATTTCAAACTTACTGATATATTTGTGTTTAAGACTTTCACTATGGAACCCTTCTGGTAAGGAAAGAGTCCATGTACTGTTGCATATGAACACAGTAGGAGGATCCAGAAAAAGACCTCTTCCACTGTACCTAGAAATTTTGAATCAAACTCACGAGTTTCATTAGTAGCAAGTTTTTCAAAACCAAAATTTGTCCTCAATCAAAAGGAACTCGAACAAAATGGTTATACATGTATGTAACTAAATACTGATTTCAAAGCCCCCAGTAAAACTACGGCCCTTTTAATTGATATCACCATGATAGCACGTGCAAAATGACATGAGCCAAGATATGTTAATGGAGACAATTGAATGCAAACAGAGGACCATATATATACCACGGTTGCTGCAGGAAGCCAGTATAAGAAGATGCTGCTTGTGCTTCCATAGCACCCAATGTATCACCATGATAAGAACTCTTAAGTGCAAGAACCTGAACCAATCAACTGATGATCGTTAGATGTCTACTTCATAGGACTAAAAAACAGTGCCATTGTACTCTCAGAGATATCTCATACATTCCAGTCGTTTGAAGAATTATGGTGAACAAACACACAACTACTTGAATCAATTGTGTATCATTGTCCAACATTATCTTAAACAGAGTGAACTCAACTCATGAAGAGACAGCGTGGTAGCTCAACCTTGAAGTCCAAAAATCAAAATGTCAGGAAGACTCCTTGAAGAAGACATCAATTTCAGCCATATCAATATTCCCCACCCCCACCGCAGGTTTAAAAAAAAAAAAAATGAATGAGATGAAAGAGATTAATAGCCAGATTATTACTGAGCAAGCCAACAGAAAGATACTAATTCGAACATTAGGCCAATTGGTTGAGGAGGTCCATTATCATGCAAGGATACTACTCTAGTAAACGCTCGAAACATTAAGAGAGACCAAACAAAGGAACACCATTTTTAGCCTCAAGATCTTTGAATGTGTTTATTCGTATCATTTAAATAAGCCATATTTCTTACATATCCCAGAATAGTCCCAACCTGAATTTTAATCACACTTTAATTGCACATAAACCCCAATCAAAGAAGTGACGAAGTGATAGGAAAATAATACTCTAAATGCACATTTATTGGCTCTGTCATCTATGATCTCGAGTCGCAATGTTTCACACATAATCAAAAAATACTCAATCAGAAATGACTATTTGTGATCTGAAGGCACAGATTTGACCTCCAACTATGATATACTATTGCACAGTATGACAGGGCTTCGCTAATGTTTACTACCAAGTTTCCAAGAGCACCTGCTCCCCTTTTCAAGTTTAACAAAATTTAAGCATGTAAGGCTGAAAATACACATAATTCTAGTTAAATGAAGCATTTTCCCCAACTAAATAGATCTTTCTACTGTTGAACACTGATCTCATAGGTCAAAAATATACTACAAGGCAAAAGCTACCACTGACTTAATTAAAAGGCTAAAGATACCTACCATGAGCTCAGCAGGCTGCTCATTTGTGGTAATATTAAAATCTGGAATGAATCCATGATCAACACAAAATTTACGAAATGCCATCTTGAGAGCAATTTCTATTGCTGTTGATCCATTGTCTGAAAAGTATACTCGAGAAGCCCAACCTGCAAAAAAATGCAACTCTAATTATATAATAAATATAGAAATATAAGAATCAGACACTAAAGAACTGCAACTGTTCGTAAAATCTCGCCATTCAGCAGATAATATTGACATGGGCAACATAGTTGAGTAACACTCATACCACTACTAAACCAAAAAGTATATTCACAACACCAGTATGCATTAATTTTGATGGCCTTATCAAGAGATATCTAATATATCATTCATAACAAATAATAAAAATGAAAGGTAAAGAAAGTACGCTTACCTTTCCCTGCACCTTCAAGTAAAAGCTCAGCACAATTTAGTGCTGGCTCATAAACATTCTCAGGAAACATCACATGCCCAAATCTCGCAGCAGTATATCCCATATCCATTGCAAGCTCAGCCTGAAATCACCTAAATGGAAAGATCACAATTAAGAAAAACTTTAGATACACAATCATTGAGGAGCACGCAACTTGCAAGCCTATTTCAGGCAAACATTCAGCATAAAGTAAAAAGGTTTGCTTCCAATCTAAGAACATTGGAATATTATAATAAATTGAAGTTCGGAGACTTCCTAAAACCCATACAAACATGAATAACTCTTCCATTGACTTGGGTGTGGTTGGGGAGGGGTCACATTGATCATGTTTTGATATTCATTTTAATATAATCAAAATAACAAAATGATCAAACAAAAATTACATTAGAATATGAGGGGAAAAACATTATTTTCATGCATAAACTGTCAATGCACCATATTCCGAATGTAGCAAGCAGACTCACATTGCTTTTATCACAGTGCATTGCATATTTATAGGCTATAATAAACATTGTGGCCAATATATGAATACCCGTACAAGCATAAAATAGATGTTAACAGTTTCCAGGCAATTGAAATAATATCCTGTCAAAAATCTATAAGATTTTAGAGGGAAGACCCAAATGCTTGTAATTTACATGCATTAAATTCTAAGTTAGGCACGGTCCTATCTAGTTTCTCATAAATGGCTGCTTTTTTTTTCTGCTCATCGTCTCCCTAGTAGTTGCATAAGAGTTAAATAAAAGTGAAAATGAGTTAAGAAGCTTTGGAAAAAAGTTAAATAAAGACAACAATTTGGCAGCATATCCGAGATAGACAAAAGGCAAAATGGTATGTTTCGATATATGACATTAATTAAACAGACAATATGATTATTACAACTTTGAAACAATAGAATCAAGAAATTAAAAGAACACGCGAGTATGACCTGCAAGGCAGCATTGGGTCCTTGCGTCCACCAACTAGCACATGCATCAAATAGAGGTTCTATGACTCCTGTATTCTGACCCTGAAATGGGAAATAGCATGACAGTCTCATGATTCAGCATATTTGTATCAGCAAAAATGAAAAAAGAGAAAAGAAGTTTGCCAGAGCTACTGACGTAAATGTAAACACTAAATGCAGCAGGCTCAAATGGTGCAGCCTACTAAGATCAACCATGTTAGATTTTAAAGCTTTAGCAAAATAGGAAAATGAATACAAACATACAACGATGAGGAAGGTGTTAATATGTTTTACTAGAAACAAACCTTGAAGACTGCAAAGTTCTCACCACAACGTGAATCAATTACTGTTATGCCTCCCTCTGGTACAAGTTTGTGTTGAGTGAAAGGCCACCAGAAGATACTCCTAGCCTTTCTTGGCATGCCATGCAACTTCTTAACTCTTTCATAATGAGCAGAAAGCATTATTTCCTTCAGAGTACTAAAGGAGCGATGAGAACCTTCAAACCATTCCATAAGGTCATCTGATGGATCTTTAGGAACAGGAGGTAGCACAAGTACCGGAACTCTGTATAGAGAAGGAAATGATAATATAGAAATACATGCATAGTAAAATAGGAATGCCATACTGTGAAATAGCAGGAAATGAAAAACACAGACAGCTAAAACCTAAATGCAGGTATAAATGGAAGAGAACTGTGAGCTTTAGTAGCTGTGGTTGTGTGTGTGTGAGTAGGAACTAAAATAGAACGTGTGTTGGCCTTCAAAAGTATGAAGGATTCACAGTGCCTCGTGTAACCAGAGGAAATGAAAAATAGTAACTAGCGTAATCAAGCTTACTTGTTTCTTGCATATGACATCAGTGAAACCTCATTCAGAAGGCCATGATCTTCAAGAATAATGGCAACGACATCATAGCCTCGAAGTGTCAAGCTTTCATATGCTGAAATAGTTCCAGAAATACCACCCAGCTGCCCATCGCCAACAAGAATAGCAGGAATACGAAATGGCCTGACAGAAAGTGATGGAAGGATCTGATTTAATAGAAATTACGAAGATATTCATTTCACGTGCAAAACTAATCATCCCGGTTTGACTTTTCACATATATGTATGCTGCCTTTGCCTACACCGACCTCCTTTTCCACTCAATACGATCATTGTTGGAGCCGAATGTGTCACACAATAACCAAAAGTCTACCATGACAGCACTCTGACAGTCTGACAGAGTAGTAAGGATCAAAGAATGCGTGAAGTATCCAAGATGTATTTCCCACGATAACTAAGCAAGATATCAAACCAATTCACGGCCATTAGAGTGTTGATGAATTCAATTGACGTCCATCTCAATAAATGGGCTTATTAAATTCAAAAATGGCTGTAGATAATCAGATTCGAATAAAAATTCAGTGAAGATTTATGGCATGCATTAAGCACCCACTAGCGGGCAACCCACTAGTCACGCTTACCCACAGTACATGTCAATTATCGGCGGTTAACAGCAAAATCGCCAAAGCAAGCTACTACCAACGGCAAATATATCTGAAGAAATCTGCATCTGTAAATCCTTGGGCGCATTGTCAAAATTGATCGCATCGATGCAATCACCACATGGCGAACCACGAAGGATAAAAAAAACATGCGGCAATTAAGTGTAAATATAAAGACTAGATTGAAACAAATATATCAATTTGGCATCTAGTCTATTATTTTTGACAAGTAATCGCCATGTATCCTTCTCCAAATATGTCACGTAGTGACCGCATCAGTGGAACCACTTCTGAGAATGCACCAAATAATTGACCTTATCTTTCTCGTTTGTTTCATACTTACGATCTTCTCCCCCCTTTTTCGGGCGACCAATGCCCATCATTATTTGATGATGAAAACTGCATGTCCTCTTAAGTAGTCAACTAGTACGAAACACTTCATGCCACAGCAGAAGTAATTTAAAATACATGTTAAGAGTCCCCGCCGCAGCGACATACAAAGGTCAACACTAATATTCAATATTAAACTTTCATAAAATTCTAAAAGCCCGGTCTTTGAAAAACTATGCACGAAATTACAAATATAAAAGCAAAAACTTTTAGCCATCCCCGCATTCCCTATTTTTTAGTCATAGTAGAACACGAATATGCTTTAAAAAAAAAAAGTACAAAACTGTACCGGTACAAGTCACACTGAAGTGACCCAGAAGGACCCGGACTGGCCACACCACCGGCAGTCTCAACAACACACAGGACTTCCGATTTCCCCTTGCCGTTCCCACCTTCCAACACATGCCTGAAACATCTGTGCAATGTTTCGAGCACCACCAAATCCTTCACAGGTCCACTTTCCCTCTCTGCAGCCAAATGCGGCGACACTGCTTCTTCCCACGCATACATAGTCTTGCAAATCAACTCCGAAAATCCACTCCCTTCTCCCACTAGCTTCTTCTCCTCACGCCAATTCAACTCATACATCTCCCTTCCACAACTCTCAATCTCCCCTGTAGCATTGGCAGCGGAGCCTGAGGCCTTGAGGACGGAATTGGAGGCAAAAAGAGAAAAAGAGGGGTTACGGCGGAGAAAGAGTTCAGTGACTTTGTTGAGAACAAAGCGGGAATCAGAGTCAATAGGGAAACCGGTTTGGACGGGCTTAATGTAGTGGAACTGGGTAGTGGAAGAGAGAAGGTGCGAGATGGCGATGCCGGCAGAGACTAGGGTTTTGCCAACAGCAGTGTTAGAGCCCCAAATGAGGTAAATGGGGTGGGGAAAGTAGTAGCTGGAGGGGTTGGGAAGTGGCCGTATGAAGGTGGCGGCGACGATGAGGACGACGTGAGAGAAGGCGGAAGGGGAAGTGGAACATGGCGATGGAAGAAGGGTGAAGGAACAGAAGAACTTGGGAATGGATAAAAGGGAAGATTTATCGATGGGAAAGGCAAGTAGAAAGTTGTTGCAGCAATGGACCGCGAAAGCATGAACGTTTTCCCATTCGCGAGGAGGTGGAAGACGGGGACCAGCTATTTCCGCCGTTTCATTTTTCTTTTTTTTTTGTTAACTTAATTCTATTTTTTTGGCAGAAATTATTAATTCTAAATTAAGTTCTTATGATTTTTTTGTTTTAATCAAATATAACTTAGATTAATTTATTAATTATTGAAGATGAATCAAAAGGAGTTTGGCTAAAAACAAATTTTACAAATCACATTGTACAATTAAAAGGCCTATTTAGTAGAAAGAAATGAAAGGTTGGGCTTGGGACTAATATTAGAAAAGACTAATTTCGTGTGTTTGATATAAGAGATCAGGTCTAATTTGAAATTGTTTAAACCCACCTATGTAGAATTTCTCAAGCCCAACCCCTACATTATATTGAGAAATGTCTTGGGTTTGGAAAATTGTAGACAAAACTATTCTTGTTTATTTTAATTTTTCGACAAAAGTGTCCTTATAAATTTTGCTTTCAACATACCTAGCAGAAGCCCATTACCATCATGGTTGTGAACGTTCTTCTCCATTTCCCCTATTAATCTCATCACAAGCGCTCGTCTCAATCAGGTCAAACTCCATCATCGTACGACGTCACGAACCTTTATCTTTGGAGCAAAGAGCGATTACGGCAAACGAGCAAAGAGTAAGAGTGAACCAAGAAGCATACTTTGCCCTCCTTTTAAATAAAGGATGCTAGCATCCTTATAACATCCTGAATTTAACTTTAAAATTTTCTAATGTTATAAGGGTATTTTAATCAAATTAAGTGAATTTCTAATTAATGACATTTTTTGAAGACCAATAGAGCTTTTAAATCCTTGGACAGCCTTAAAATAGGGCTAGATCATAGTACGAGCAGGCCATGGCATGGAGAAAGATTCAATCTAAGTGTGAATCTCTCTGTGCTATGCCCATGACAAGCATGCAAAATCTTTACTTATCAGTTCACAAAATTATACCGAAACTCAGTAGAGGGAAAGATAGAATGCGGAGAGACGACAAGTAGTGACTTGTGGGTGTTAAGACTCAATCTTGGGGTCACTTTAAAAGCATTTAGAGCAAGATTTAGTTTTGGGTAAGCTTTCTACACTTTTCCTCTCCCTATATTTGAACTTTTTTTATGATTAGAATATTGTGGCACTTGTGATTTCATATTTTCTTATGTAATGGTTAAATCCATTGTCTTAGTTAAGGTCTTAGGTAGTTAAATCAAGCTTCTAAATCTATATTTATGGTTTATTTAATGATTTGAAATTGTGGGTTAGTGTTTGGGCGAACTCTAAGTAAAATTAGATGATTAAAAGTAATGTGGATAATGTAATAATATTATTTATGTGTTGGGATGTTAAATAGGATTAATGTAGTGTATTGAAAGAATTGTTGGAGCTAAATTGAGGTTTTGAATATAATGGATATCCCTAGTTATGTTAAAAAAATGAGGTAATTAATATGGGGATTGATAATTAAGAGTTAATTTTATAGATTAGCCTTGGATCGAGTATTGTGGTGCTAGTAGACACGTGTGGAGCCATTAGGTTGACCATAGTAACCCTTTTAATAGCAAAAGGGTTTAGAAAACTAAATCGTCTAATCTCTTTTTTTGTGTGTTTGGATAGTAGTGTATTAAATTTTAAAGTTAATGTTTTAGGTTTGATACTAGCATAGTAATAATATGAAAGTATGATTTTTGAAGTTATGTAAAATGGAATGAAAAGTTGTTTTATTATTTCAGTATTTGAAAAGCTAAATGCTATTTTTATGCATAACTACTTGTGAAATTCTATGATTTAATTGGAAATAAGAAATTGTGATAATTTATATGTTATGATTAGTTGTTGAAATCCTTAAGCATGTTGGCATGATCATTGCGAGAGGATGGGGGTTCATCTTAGTATGTTGTTAGGATATTGTTTGAAAATTCACATGGTACACCGACACCGTGGAGGCCCCAGTATTTAGTATTATATTGTTTGGAAGTCTCAGTATTACGTGAAGTAAATTGGGCATCAACACCCTTAATATTTATGGACAGGGAGAATTTGTGATCCATAGTGGGTGAATGCGCTCTTAACCGAGGTTGCCTTCTACTAATAGTGAGTGTGGACCAGTTCAATCATATGGACTTGGCTCTATTGAGTTATCAACCTACAGATTCAGTTGGAAGATATAAAGAAGGTATAGAGTAGTGTGTTGATCATGCACATCATACTATTTCAATATGTGTGGATTTACATAACTTGTTACATTTTTTATGCCACTTCATATACGTACAAACTATTCTTACGCGCGAATAGTTAATTAGACTGTTTGGTTATTGAGTCCTCAATTCACCTCGTGGTTACATTTTACAGGTGAAAGCTCTAATAGGGGCAAGAGAAAGGAAGGTGCATTTAAACAATGTGAGGACTAGCTAGTGTTTGTATAGCCCTATCTATTTTCTTTAGTTTGTAACGAATGAAATATGCATATGCCAACTTAGGAAAAACATATGTCCTTTTGTATGCACTTGCATGATTACTATTGTTATTTGTAGGTATCTCGGCCTGAGATGTGTTGATTGTGTTGTATTGGCTATGAGATGTTGAGATATCAATGCAAGTGTTAGTTTTGTAATTCATATGTTAGATTGACTCTTAGATTGATTTATGAGAGATTGTTACCCTTTGTAAGAATTATGCTAAATATGAGGTTTTGGTGGTCAAATCTCGTATAGATTGTTGTTGTAGTGATTTGAATGCTTGTATAAGTTATTTGTGGTTATTTAAGTTGGTTTAGGTGGTTCTATGACTATTGACATTGGGTTTAAGAGTTTGAACACCTTAATAGAGGGTTTGAAAGAAAAAGTATTATTTTGGATTTAGGTGTCTAAATCTCATTTAGATTAGTGTGTTTGGTGTGTAATTGGTGCCAATAGCTAGATGGCTTTGAAAGCTGTAACGGGCGTCCTAAATTAGGACTTAATCATCATACTAACCATGGTTAATCAAGGACTAACCCAAATGGATTATACAATACGAGATTAACTTAAATGAATTCTTAATATGTATTTATTTTTTACAAACTATTTAATATAAAGGAATCTCAAGTCTTTAAAATATTTTAAGAATTCATATCATTCAATTAAACATATGCGGAAGCATGATAATAACTATTTTTACTTGCACAAATATTTTGACCCATTAATATAATACAAGCATCAAAACACAATCTCAAGAGCCCAAAATACCTTTCCATCCTACACAAAACCCATAGTGCAAATGGATCAAGAATGTATTATCCTAATTGGCAATATCATAAACTAAATACACATATCAACATAAAAGGAGAGAGGCCTACAGAAGTGATTATTATCACTTGGCCTAATGCTCCTTTCCTCTGTTCTTCTCAGATGAGCTACTTCCTGGGGTGAGTACAACCACTCAGTAACCAAGGTATATCTAAATTATACAAATACATGATAATTAATCATGAATGCAAGTGACCAATAAATTTATCAAGGTGACCATTCAAACAATCACATTAATAACATGTTAATCACATTAACATTGAACTCATGTGAATAATTTCAAGAATAAAGTCAAGTATAAAATTTACACAAATAGCCACATATACATTATTCGCATAATTACTACATGTTCTCATTTCTACAATTATAATCATATTCTCAACATAGTCATCAATAACTCAAATGGCATGATAATAATAATATGCATGATTAATCTCTTCCTTATATCCCCCTTATTTCCTCTAACATGAAATCCGTGGGCCAACAACCGGAAGGGATCATCTATGTGGTGAAACTACCCAAAGCCTTAATCATATCATGAGGGGCTACCGGGCCAGGGTTACCTTACTCACTTATGAACACGGTTTCCCCCAAATCACACACTATGGGGTGTCATACCCAAAACTAGCTCTACTCAAAACTCCAGGTAGGCCAGTAGGGTCAAGTCCCTTAATAGGAACAATGCTACAGTACCTTACAAGGTAAGTAGCGGCTATAACCCCTAGGATTATTGGTTAATAGCCAAATACCATATGGATTTTATGTAATTGCTAACTCCTTCACTAAGGCGAACTCCCGCCATATGATCATACTAATAAAAAAATACATTTTAAAAACTCATATATATAATTCATAATTTATAGTCAAGATTGTGCACATCATCATAAACATCAATCTCATTACTTATACCAAGTCACAATTAACTTGGTCACAAATCATAAGGTCTCAACAAAACCACATGCATTACAAACAACTATTTCAAATTTAAATATATATATATATATATATATATTCTTTTGTTTCACCAACATAATTAATTAATTAACATACAAATGCATAAAATAGATTTCCCCGGTTACCTCAACCTTTGAGAGGTCAAAGGTTACCCCTCAAGTTACAACACTTCCAAAGCTTGAATGGTGTCAAAAGAAAATTAATCTATAATTGATCATATCCCAATGTGTCAATAATATTATTAACACAATTTTCACTCATACTCTAACACCTAAGCATTTATTTTATTTTATTTTATATTTATTTATTTATTTTAAGAAATTAGTCTTAGTCTCTTGAATTCTAAAATTTAATTTCATGTATTTGAACGTATCTACTTGGTTTAATAGTCTCCTTCACAATAATTTCATTCAAATATTTTTCTAATATCAAAATTTCTCTTTTTATTCCAAAAATTTGCATATAAAAATACCCAAAAATTGCAAACTTGATTTCAAGCCTAGAATCATTATTCTATAGCCATAATAATTTATTTTTCATCTCAAATAATCATCTAAATATCAACAAATCAATTTATATTTTCAGATTTAACTAAAAATCTACCCATAGAAATCTAGGGATAAACTCAAATGCCTCAAATTCCAATTCTATTAACAAAATAATACGCTAGAATATTTATTACACTACTAACAACCTCAAAACCATATTTATTTAACATAAATTCATCCCTCTTCCAAATCCTAAATTTTCTACCACCACAAAATCAGAAACCAAAGAGAAAATATGACTAAGAAAAATGTTTAGAACACTTACCTAGTTTTAGAATACTTAAAATCTCATATGAAGTATTCTATTATGGAGCTTCATCTTCTAAATCAGTCAGCCTCTCCATCAATGTCGCTCGCTCTCTCGCTCGCTCTTTGCCTCAGCTCGCGTATAGGGATGAAATGAAGAAATGAAGGAATGAGGGTGATTTTATAAAAAAAAAATACCGCGGGTCCCACATGTTTTTTTTGTCTCCTTTCTCCTCTCTCTTCTTTTTTATTATTATTATATATATATGTGTCATGATTGTTATGGGAGAGCATGGAAAGCGATTTCTTCTTCTCCTTCTTCTTCTTTCTTTCTTTAGACATTTTCTCTTTTTTTAATAATAATAATAATAATTTAATATTTTTAATTAATTAATTAATTATTTTTTTTAAATTTTAATTTAGAATTATATCCTGATTAGATTTAACAATCATCTCCTTCTAATTTGCTTACCTCTAAATATTTTTTTAAAAAATTTCTATTAACCCAAATTAACTATTAAAATTTAAATTGGGATGTTACAAAAGCTACATGTGGACATTTAAATCGCTTAACTCGAACATCGAATGGCGAAATGGCATGTTTTGAAAGTTGGCTTGGAGAGCTGTCATGACAGCAATTGCTATCATGACAAGGGAAAAGCATTGCGACACATTGTTTATCGTGCTGCAGCGCGAGGCATAGAGAGGAACGTTTTCCTTAGTACAGTTCACCGCAACGAATAGCGCATTGTGCTTTAGTGGCTGAAAAACTTTCAATTCTGCTTAATATTTTTCATGTGATGACTTCTCATATTTCTATTATCTTATTTATTTAGTTTTGAACTATAGTTTAAACTTAAAACAATCTTTCAAAAGGGTTTTTCTTAGAATCCCATTTTCTTAAATATTCTTAAAACCCTTGGATTATGATAATTATTTATGAGATTAATGTAATCTCAGTTATCATAACGTTGTTTTGTGTTTGGTGTTATGTGTGCTTGGTAATATCGAGGATGACGTTACACCCCTCTCATCTACCGACATCATCCTCTCATTTGCTGACGCTAACGTCGTCCTTTACTAACGCCAATGCCGTCCTCCACCAATGCTATTGCCAAAGCTAAAGGGAAAAGGAGATCGAAGATGAGAAAAAAAGGAGAATGATCGACAATCCAAGCCTTTCATCCACGACAAGATTTCTCATGGCGTGATCAGATGAGGGATGTAGTTCTCAAGTTTTTTTTTAAATTTTAAAGGATATTATAGTCTTTTTATATTTTATATTTAATTATAAAATAAAATAAAAGGAAGTATTCCTTATAAATATTACCTCATACCAAATATAATTTTAAAACCTCATTTTACTCTTACTCCCAATCTCAATCTCTCTAGATTGAAACCTACATACCTCACTTTAAACATAAGTAGTCTAAACCTCGTTCTAATAGTTTTAATTATATAAAATAAAATTTATATATTTTTTAAATAAATTCTTAAGATAAAGAATGTAATAATAAACTATTAGATACTAGTAATTATTATCTCATAATGGTTTTTAGATAAAAGTATTTGAATATTTTTAAGAAAATAACTATTATTAGAAATAAAATTTTCGCAAAAAATAAAAATCAATAAATAATAATAATAATAATACAAACTATTATTTTTATTTCCCTGAGCATCCCGCCCGTGCAATTCACCAAAACCGAAAAAAAAAAAAAAAAACAGGAGAAGGAAGGCATATACCAAGACAGATAAAATAAGATGCCAAAAATTGCGGTAACGAGATAGTGCCACGTGGGACACTACATGGCGACCAGGCATCGCATCTTGGAGCGGCCCAGGAACCCCTGTCGCCTATGGCGGTCCTTCTTCGCCACCATCATCGTCATCCTCCTCTTCGCCTCCTTCCCTCCTCACCATCGTCACCATAATATTGCACTCTGCTCATCACTCTTCCGATTTTTTTAATTCTTTTTTATATTTATTTCCAACTCTTTGCTCTGCGAGATCAGCAGCTTCGAGCCACCCTACCCCAATCTCCAAATGATCAGCTATAGTACGAGAATTAGGGAGCAGAGCTGCGAATTTTCATGAAAGTGATGAAATAGATTCCATTGATTAACTCTTTTGACTTGGAGACTTTTGAATTTAGGTCTCCTTTTCTGGTATTATCAAATTGGCCTATTCAGGTACTTGTTAACATGCCTCCCATGGATTCGTGTAGTATGGTCGCGGGTTTGTTATTTTAGATCTGTACTTAGGGTTTTGATTATCATTATCATTTTTGGTTTCATTCCCTTTACATTTTTATCTATTTTTTTGTTGGCATTCTTTCTCCCTATTCAAACACTGTTTATTCTCGGGAAATGTGATAGCTTTCCATATCTTCCACGACGTTCAAAAGGGAAATTTTACGTATCCGATATAGCCGAACAACAGATCGGGCTAACACTTTCGTGTTCTAGTTTGTATTCGCGAAACTTGCAAGTGTAAGTTACGAGCTGTTCACGTTTAATGAAGGAGTTTAATGCTTAAGCAAGCCAGAATCGATTTGATCGTCGACAGTTTGTTATGGATAGTTCTACTGTAATTCGACCTTCTACACCCTGTTCTGGTTCTGCACCGGGTTCGGCGCCTGGTTGCAATGATGATAGCCAGCGGGTAAAATTCTTATGTAGTTTTCTAGGAAATATAATGCCCCGTCCCCAAGATGGGAAGCTTCGATATGTTGGTGGAGAGACGCGAATTGTGAGTGTTCCACGAGATATTGGTTATGAGGAGTTGATGAGTAAGATGAGGGAGCTCTATGATGGGGCAGCAGTCTTGAAATACCAGCAACCTGACGAGGATCTTGATGCCCTTGTCTCCGTTGTGAATGATGATGATGTGGTTAATATGATGGAAGAGTATGACAAATTGGGTTCAAGTGATGGATTCCATAGGCTCAGAATTTTTTTGTTCTCACAATCTGAACAAGATGTTTCTTCACATTTCATTGATGGGGATGACAGGGATACTGAGAGAAGGTATGTTGATGCATTGAATAATTTAAATGATGCTTCTGATTTTAGGAAGCAGCAACAAGGTGAGTTTCCTATGCTTGGTTCAGTTGAGGATATGCATGTAGCTGATCAGTTCTTTAATCCAATCAATGTGGATGGTGGCCTTCATGGCCAGAGAAGTGGTGAGATACCCATAACTCATTTTAACTTGCATCATCCCACACTACCTCACATCGGATCAGCACAGCACCAGCAACCTATATCCCAGAGGTATAGTGACATAGATGCTCCATGGAGTTCTGCATATTACTCTCCCAGGCATCATGGTCACCATGACTCTAGATCTGTGGTAGAATTTCCATCTTCTCCTTCTTCTGCAAGGTACCAGATGCCATTTTCAGAGCTACCAGAGAAATGCATTGATAGAATGCCCGAAGAATATACTCGGCATCAGGTAAATCACCATCCTGTGTATGACAATCAACCACAATATTCTGATAATGTTGTGTGGTATCCAACTGGAGCTGCATCTAGTGAGAAGTCAGGTTTTCCTAGCAATGTTCTTCATGGTCCTCATGTTATTGATGGGAGTAGTATTTGTGAGCACTGCCGGATAAGTTTTCAGAGAGGTCAATCACATTTTGAGCATCCTAATATTAATAATGGACTTCCACCAGTCGCTAATCCATGTGCAGAATGCCATGCAAACAGGGATACTTTTATAATGAATGCTGATGCAAAGTTGCATCCTGTTATTTATCCTAATGAGGCAAATAATGATCATAGATCTGCTTATAACGATACTCAAAATCATGAGAGAGGATGGGCTTTGCCACATCAAACAAATAATCGGGTTGAGGAAGCAAGGAGCCATGTTTCTGGATCAGGAAGATTGAATGATCATTATGTTCTTGATGGTTCTGGCATAAATTACTCTCTTGGCCATGGCAATGTGGCTGATGGGCATCATCTGCCTTCGAATTACGTTCACCAAAGAGTTGGACCTGAATTGGGACCTGAACTGTTTCATGATCAAGCTGTGACTACTACAGCCCATCCACAAATTTCTCCTTTGGAAGAACGCAGTGTGCGATATGGGAACCCATCTCCTTATGGAGTTGATAGTCATTACCCTGTGACACATGGACATGTACCTGGGCTTACTTTCTGGAGAAATACTGCAGCTCCACTTCACATTGGACCATCTTATGAGGCATCCAGTCCACCTCAGCAGTTAAATGGTGTGTTAAGTGCAGGAATAAGGGGAGAGGGTAGTCCAAGAATTTACATTGGACCAGATAGTCAAAGTCCTTGGGTTGATTCCTCGCACAAAATGTCAGGTCATGATGGATTACCAGTCCCAGAATTTCCTTATCCTCATGCTGTGAAGTTCAATCCAAGGGCTCTTGGTCAAGAAAATCAACATCCAGTTGCTGTGGACACCATTCATTCCCCACAGGACATGAATGTTGGCATTCGATTGGAACCAGTGCAGCTTCCAAAATCACCTTTTAATATGGTTCACAACAATGAGGTTTCTAACAATGGTACTCATATAACTGATGCAATGGGGTCGCTGAGCTTGCACGATGAAGAGAAAGGGACAGAGAATGCAGATAAGGTTGAGAACTCTAATGCTCAAAGTATATCTTTTTCTGAGCAAAACAAAATTGCTGAGAATAATAGTGAAGCAGCTGCTTCTCTTGACTCTAAAAATTCAAAATCAAAACCTGTTGAAGAATGTGGTGAGGTTACGAAACTTGTTGATGGGGATCTAATTGCTCCTGAAGATTCCAAGCATCTAGCTAACCAATTCAGTTTCTTGCCTGAGTTGATTGCTTCTGTAAAAAAGGCTGCATTGGAAGGAGCTGAAGAGGTGAAAGCTAGAGCTAAGGAGCACACCACGTCTCAGAATAATTCAGCAATCAAAGATGACACAGCAAATGAAGGAGAGACAGGGGTAAAGATGGTGAATTTGTTTTCTTCTATATAGAGATTGGTTTGGTAAAGGTTAATTTATGCTGTCTCCTAATGTCAGTTTTCCTGTCTGTAATGTAGAATGCTCTTGGTGATTTAGAATTGGACTCTGATAACGACAATGTGGATACTTCTAAAATTGAACCTACAAAAGCTGAGGCAGAAGCTATTGCTAGAGGATTGCAGGTTTTTGTGCTATATTAACTGAGTCTACAATTTTTTGATCTCATTGATTTCTCGGTCTTTCTTGGCCTTCTTTTTCCCACATGACTTTTGTTTGATGTTGGTATGCTGATACCTTTTCCAGACAATTAAAAATTGTGATTTGGAAGAGATTCGTGAACTAGGTTCTGGAACTTATGGGGCTGTCTATCATGGGAAATGGAAAGGTTCTGATGTGGCAATTAAGAGGATAAAAGCTAGCTGTTTTGCTGGAAGACCCTCAGAAAGAGAAAGATTGGTAATATCTTTATTCAGTACATTTTCTTTGTTTTTTTTTACTTTTAATTTCACAAATTAGAATCCATCATCTCTTCTCTTTTGCGTGCCATGAAATGTTTGACCCCTGGTTCAGAAGCTCATTGATGTCACAAATGTTGTCCTGTATTGTGTGATGGGCCTTATCAATAAGCAGAAAATTTTGGTAGCCAGAACTATATTAATAAGCAGAAATTTTATGACAAATCTTTGGTACCCAGAAATTTTTGACGTATTAAATATTGAATTTGCTTTGTGTTTGGAAAAATCCAATGGAGAAGGCAATCTATTTGATTGTCCCATTATAGAGGTTAGTGTCACTGTTTCTGTTCTATATAAACTCACCTTACATTAAGTAGGATAATTTATCTGATTCCCTCCAAGTATAAGAATGTTTAGAGGAAAATAAATAGTGGAGCATATATAAGGGTGTGTAAGTAGTATTATTTATATTGCCACAATTATTACAGCCAGCTATTTATACAGATCTCTCTTCTGTTGTCACAGATTGCAGATTTCTGGAAAGAGGCATTGATACTAAGTTCACTTCATCACCCAAACGTTGTGTCCTTCTACGGTATTGTTCGTGATGGCCCTGATGGTTCTTTAGCAACTGTGACAGAGTTCATGATTAATGGATCCCTGAAACAGTTCTTGCATAAGAAAGATAGGTAATTCATTGATAAGTTCACTCTTCATCTATCTTGTAACCTGCTCGCCATGCAGGAATGTGTGCCATATCTTTACTACATACTGGTTACATAATATTTATGCCCTTTATATGTGAGTAATTCAACAGAACTATAGATCGTCGTAAGAGGCTAATTATAGCTATGGATGCGGCATTTGGGATGGAGTATTTGCATGGAAAGAACATTGTGCATTTTGATTTGAAATGTGAGAATCTATTAGTCAATATGAGAGATCCACAGCGGCCTGTCTGCAAGGTAAACATAACTTGTAAGATATTTTATCCCACATCTTAAGTTTTAGGTAGTTAATATTGAAATTTTTCCAAAATCATCCTGCTGTAATGAAGTTGCTGGCTTCAGTTACACATTGGATAAGTATTTTTTTTTTTTTGGGGAAAAACCTTCTTTGGACGCTGTAAATTTAATTGAATTCATATGTTTCCTTTCAGATTGGTGATTTGGGTTTATCAAAGGTAAAACAGCACACTCTAGTATCTGGAGGAGTGCGGGGAACTTTGCCATGGATGGCACCTGAACTCCTAAGTGGGAAAAGCAATATGGTGTCAGAGAAGGTATTAATTGCATTTGTGTTTGCCTGTACTTTGTTAATATTTTCTTTCTTTCTTTTCACGTGATCTTGTTGGGTCTATTCTTGCCTGTGTTGTAGATTGATGTTTATTCATTCGGGATTGTTATGTGGGAATTGCTCACTGGGGATGAACCCTATGCTGATATGCATTGTGCTTCAATAATAGGTGAGCACCAAGTGAGAGCCAAAGTGCTTGTGCTATTTGTTTTGCTGCATGATATGCTTTCATTTTGATGTTCGAACTGTTTCTATCGCATCTTTATAATTTAGAATATCAGTTTGTAGTCCTTATTGAAAACGGGCTATTAATATTGATTGCCTTAGAATTTAGAAGACTTGGGAGTTGTTCCATTATAATGCCATAGATTTGCTTATAACAAGATTTGTGGTTTTGTACAGTTTGTAGCTTCTGTGTTCAGTGCATTAATGCAGGTAGCTAATATTTAGGTAAGATATAGTACCTGCTCTTGCTATTCTTCAGGTACTAGCTAAAACTAGATTGCCTTGGAAAATTGGAATGATACTCCATCATCTTCCTCCATTTTGTTATGTATGAGCTTCCCAATCTAGTGACTGTAAGGCTGGAAATAAACTGAGGTGTGAGTAGAAATGTAGCTTTCATGTTCTTTAGGGAGATTTTAGGCTTGTAGTATCTCGTTACTTTTTTTTATAAAAAAAATAATGAATTATCAGCATAAATATGAGTTCATGTATTGTGACTGTTATATTGGTTATTTAAATGGTCCATTATTAAGCTCTAACATTTTTCCTGAGATGCATTAAATGTTATGCAATTCTTATGTAACTAAGGAACTGGCATTTCAAAACTGGGATTGACTGGATTGGTTTCTATAAAATTTATTTGAGTGTATATCTACTACAAAGGTGCAGGTATTCAGTACACCGATGTATGAATTGATCTTGCATTTCTGATGGACGAGAATATCATGGTTGATTACCTTTCAATACTTAGGATATAAGATGTTTTCATCTTTGCGTGTTTACTTCAAGCGCTTTAGGTCTATTCTGGCGTTTAGAAATCTGGACTTCATATATTATCTTTAATTTGCAGGAGGTATTGTGAACAACACATTACGTCCCCAAATCCCGACATGGTGTGATCCTGAGTGGAAGTCTCTAATGGAAAGTTGCTGGGCTTCTGATCCCACAGAGAGGCCATCCTTCTCAGAAATCTCAAAGAAGCTAAGGACTATGGCTGCGCAGATGAATGTGAAGTAGTCTCTGTTGATCTTAAAATGCTCAGTAGCCCTTCTTGCATTCATCATTCATTGTACGTAGCCTGGAAGTGATGAAAGAAGGGATAAAGTGAAGCATTATTTTATCAATTCAAGGGACCCTTCTAGCTTAGCCTGAAGAGAGTTTAAAACCTGAAAGAAAAGGGGGAAAAGAAAAAATAAAAAGAAAAAGAAAAGGTTGGGGGAGGAGGGGAAGTTGGGGAAGGTTTAACATGTGCATTGGCTCTGGGAGCTGTATAAATAAAGGTCATTTTTATATCGACCTGCTTCTTTATATGTTCTATATGGAACATACAATCATAATGAACTTTTTCACCTAACCAGAATTTCAGCGCCTTCATGGCCATGTCCTTGCTTGTCAAACGGAACACTATAGTTCACCCTTGAAGGAAAACATCTGTGCTTGAGAAGGAAAACACTCGTAGGTGTATAATAGATTGAGGTGTTTTGTGAGAAAGCATAATGTCCTGTTGGGATTTATAGGCAGGAGAAAAAAAAAAAAAAGAATCATTCCAAATTAGTTGTTCTAGCTATAGAGCAATAATAGCATCATCAGCAGGGATACTGAATTGAATTGAAGTTATCTGGCATGTACTGTTTAAGACTACATGTCATTTGAGTCAATCCATTTAAACTTTGATTACATGATTTTAATGATGGGAGAGTAAGTCACAAATCCAACGCCTCGATTACTTTACCATTAAGTTGATGTCTAATAATGTGGCTATTGACACCACCAAAATTGATTAATGTAGCCATTGTATTTAAACATAGGGATCTTAAGGGTGTCTAATGTAGATGATGGTTAACACCACCAACTCTGTACTGTAGTATACTTGAAGAAAAATCCACGAGGTCAAATGCTGTGACACAATCATCATCTAATATTTTGGACCCTCTCTCTTGACTCTGTTAAGAATTGTAGCCTTGTACGGCTTACCTAACACACGTTTGTATAAAAAGTCAAAGTACGCTCGTGCCTTCTCAATTCTGACGGTGTCTAGAATTACCAATAGTATTTCCCACACAAGTGTGGCTTAAGATTTTGGCACAGAATTAAGACACATAGATAACTTAATAAGTGGTGTAATTTCATTGAATTGTTCTCATTAAATCTAGCTAGGACTTTTTTTAAATCAAGTGATGCCATAAACTACGCATTAACTTGTTCTTAAGAGCAAAGTTGGGAAAAAGATTTTTGTTTTTGTGGTAAGTTCCATTGACAATAGATATTATATTCTTCAAAATACTGAGGATAAAGAGTATGCTTATCCCAATTAAATTGCTACATATATAGAGCTAGAAAAATGAATTTAATTATAAAGTAGAAACAAAAATTTTGCTAAAAGGGCACATATTAATTATGGGACTATGGGACAGAGGGAGTACGAGGGATTAAAATTAGAAATGCTGGGGAAATGACAAACACATCAAGTTATTGAGGATAGCTTTAAAGAGTCAATAATTATGTGCATGGTTAAAAAATTAGGATGTGATTTAGGTCAAATGGTTGGGTGCTGGATTTGGATGGGTTTGTTGACAGTATTGTTTAAACAAGTACTAGTGGAAATTAAACAAAAGGGTTTGACATTTGACAGTAATTTTGGAGGATGACTTTAGGCGAAAGTAAAGACCAATTTGAGTTCATTGAAATTGAACACATGATTATGCCATAGCAAGTGGCAACTTGATTATTTTATATTTATCAGTGACACGTATTAGTTGGAGTGACGCAATTAGTCATTCGAGCGTTGTTGAGGAAGAACAATTTGATTTGAGCTTCACATAAATACTAATATTAATGGCAATCAATTATACCGATTAGATCTACCTTTATATATAATACTAAGCATCTTTTCAATCCTAGTGACGACAGTAGCAACAGTAGGATGATTTTTTTGGAGAATCTCTTCCCCTTCCTTTCTTATTGATAGTTTAATATACTCTCTTGTTTAAAAATATAAAATATTTTTAATTAAATTTTATCCTCAATAAAATAATTACTTACTTTCAAACTAACCTCATCTTTTTATAGTTACTTATTAAATACCCTATAATAAATATAAAGTTATTATCACTAGAGATACTTTAAAAAAAATGATTATATCTCGAAAAATTAAAAATACTTTTATTTTTAAATATTTAACTTTTTAAAAAATATTTTATATTTTTGAATGAAAAGAATATATTTTATGACCTTGCCCATTATATAATTAGGGTTGGCTGGTTTGTTTTTATTTTTGTTTTTGTTGTTTGGTCTCATGTAATGTTTTCACATTCTTCTGAATGAATGAGTATATCATATTCATATTAAACACACACATATTTTATCAATGCCTTATCTTAATGAGCCTGTGCACGTTTTAATTATAGAGTAAAGTTAATTAATTTTTCTGTTTTTTAAAAGCAAATACCTCAAACTTATTTAAAAATGTGTAATTTTTTAATTTTGTCCTTCACTGAAATTAATGATCATAATAAAATGATGTATAAAAATTCAAAGCATGCTAACAATTTACTGCAATTAAAGGAGGGGTAAGGTTGAGAAAAAAAATTTAATTACCATGTATTTAGGATCAATTAGAATTTTAAAACTTTGTCCTATAATTAAAATTTCAAGAATTTTTTTCTGTTATTCTCCAGTAAGATTACCTACTATTTGTTAACCATGAATAATATGGTTTATTTTAATTAAATTCCATGAGAAGCATGACTTATCACAATCTTGTTCTGTATATAGCACGAAAATAATAATAACTTTCTCCAAAAATGCATGATGCATCATGAGTAAAATTTTAATTTTGAATCTATAAAGCTGATACGTGGATATATATATCCTTTGGGTGATAAGTGAGGAGTAAATGCGATATGTATATATTTTTTAGTTTCTTCCAAATACGTTATACACATTTGTTTTATTTGATTTTTTTTTAAAAAAAGCGTCTTTTACGAAACTCAATGTAACTTGATTGTAGTATTAATATTCCGTTTGATGAATATTTAAAAAAATATGCATGGAGTGAAATAAAAGGGAAAAATATAATAAACTAAATTTATTGAATAATCTCATTTGCTACATATAAATATTTTGTAAGAAATAATATGCAATTTTTTAAAAATTTTGTATTTTGATTTTGACAACATATCTTAAAAATTTAAACTGAAAAGAAAAGAAATTCAAATTCACATCGCAGAAATAAAATTTAAATAATATAAGTAAAATTTTATTTTTTTAAATAAATGCGACTCACTCACCATTTTTTAATGAAAGAATTACATCCAAAAATCTAGCAAAAACTTATTCACATGTAAAAGTTTCAGTAAAAAAAATAAATTTATGTTGTCATTTTAATAATAATCTGTTTTATATTAATCACTATTTACGAATGAATTTCTTATCAAACCCTCTTCCTTTTTTAATTATATTAAAAAATTTGAACCCTAAAACTTATATATATATAATACACATTTATATATTATGTTTGGTTGTAATAATAAAAAATGATTATTATTTAGTTATTTTTAATTTTTATGATATTTTCATAAATATCTATTTATAAAAAATAATTTATTATTTAGTAGTTATTTTAAAATTTCATGATACCTTTGTATATTTTCTCATTTTTATGACATATTCTTTCGTTAATTGCATTATATTATTTTTAAAATATACTCAAAATAACTTCTTAGAATAATAAAAAATTGCCTTTTTCTATATTTTGAATGATTGTTTTAAAAAACTTAAATAAGCATAATAAAATTTTACAAAATACATATTTCTAAAAAAAGTGATATTTTTATTTAAAAAAAAAACTTAAACAAACCGCCCCATATCTATTTAGTTGAACTCGTCTCATCTTGTGACCTCCTAGGCGTAGTCGCCTCTTTTAAAATGAAGAGATGCCTGTAATATAATTGCTTCTTCCATGTTAATATAAATCATAAATGTTTTGGTTTAACTATTGCCTATAATATTATGTAGTGTTCCATCCTTATCTTCATACAATGACTACGTTCACCACCTATATTTTATTATTCTTTGTCTCCTCTTGATGTTGAAATATTATATTGCACAGTCTTTTCTCCTCATCTTATGTTCTCTTAATTTATATAAAGAAGAAGACATTATGTGCATAGAGTAACTGCGAAAGTGTAAAGATTCTTTGGTTAAGGAGAGAGCCAAGCAGAAGCATATATCATGTTCAATATCCGAATCTCCATTTGATAATCAGTGTGCATATATATATATATATATATATGTATGTATGTATGTAATGGAAAAGTCATATATAGTGCTTTTTTGAAAATTTGATTGTTTGCCCTTGAGCAGGGTACAGTTCTAGAATCTTCCCTTTCTCCAACTTAATTAATTAAGACTTGCCCTGCCTTAGTTATTGCTTAATTTATGAAGCCAAGGTCAATGAGTGATTTTTATTATATGCTTCTCTGGATAATGAAGGCTTTCAAGTGGGATTTTTATTTTTATTTTTTTGCTCTTTGTTTTCTTGTGTTTGACTTTTTTTTCATTTTTCATGGTTTCAAAAGCTTGATAGCATCATCTAAAGCACACATCCTGTTAATTAAAATCAAAGATGACCTCACAGCAAAAATATTGAACTCCTAAACCACTCAGTAACGAAACTATGACATTATTATGTCAGTGACTAGCTAGGGACATCTCAAAAGGCTCTTAATTTTCTTTTCAAAAAAACAAGAATCTTGTGATGATGGATTTAGTGTCAAATTCTGATACAGCGGACAGTTCAGGAGTAAGAAATTAGTTTTTTTTAATACTACTATATGTTATCAATATGAGAAGTACGGTCATCGTGTAGATAAAATAGATTTTTTGATATATGGATCATTAAAATTAATTAATAAATACACATACAAAAAAAATTACACTCAAATCTTCCTCACCACATAATTAAATAGTTGTCATTTTACTCTACCCAATTATCAATGAATCTTGTAGAATTTAATTATGTGGTAAGGACCTAAAAATAATTCTTCTCCAAAAAAAACTCCAACTCATTTTTAAAGTTTGTACAATTTTTATAATAAAACATGCTTAGCTTAAACCTATGCAAAAAAGACTCAAGCAAAATATTAAAACATATTGTAGAATGGCAATTAGAATGCCCTTGCGATTCATATATCAATGTATATTAACATAAATTAATCTATACTAAGCCATCTTTTTTCCCAACGCAGTTTATTTTCAACTGGACACAGTGCACATTATTGTTATTGTAAATTGTAAACTAGAAGTTCAAGCTAGGTGATGCAAGCTTCATAGGTGAAAAGTCTAGCTAGACAGACTTTTTGCCGTTTAATTTGACATCATTCTTGTTATCCATACGTAAACTTGAACACATATTTCAACAATGACTTGTCCTATAAAACCTTGATTCTTATAGGCCGGTTAAAAGGCACTTGAGTCAAAGCACCAAAAACTCTTTTCCTCTAGGAAATATAAATTGTTTTTTAAAAAATAAATTATATCAATTTTTGGCTATATTACATGATTTCTTGGATATGACAAAAATATTGGGATCCTTCTTATCAAATATCCCTCATTTTAATCATTAATATTTACATTGATATATTATCAACACAGTTTATATATCATACAAGAATTGAAGGTAGTTTGAGAAAAAATAAATATGAAAGATAAAGAACTAAAGAAGATTGAAGTCTTATGTTTCGAATTAAAGGTGTGTTTGGATTTTCAATTAGGTAAAAATTAATTACAGAAAAAATTGATTATCAAATGAAATTTTAAAACAATTGATTATCAGACGAAATTTTAAATAGTTGCTTCTACAGTAAAGTTTCATAACCTAAATGGAGCTTATGAAAAAATGGGGTGTTTAGGTTTTTTTTTTTTTTCATCACAAAGTTTCAGGAGCCATAATTGTGATTATGAAGGGGTACTTATTGAATCAAATTCAAAATAGTTTGAGAAAAAAATGAATGTGAAAGATAAAAAAATTGAAGTCTTGCATTTAAAATTAAAATAAACATCTCAATTAACTACTACATTTACATTAACAGAAAATAGCTAGCTAGGGTTGGTTTTCAAATTTCAAAGAACATTTAGTCTAGGAGGATGTATAGTGACAATCTTAGTAAGAAAGATGAAGGCCACTTTTGATCCACGTACTTAAACGGAATTCATCAATACATTAAATCAAACTAATTAATGGACCTAAAAAAAAGCAACATGCTATTACTATATTGCTTCATGTGGAAAAGGTAGAAGGATATTCTTGTCCTTTTGCAAGCATTAATTAATATATTAATTAAAACATGGACCGAACTAATCCAAAAGGGAGGGAAAAATTAATATGGCATTAAATAATATAATGAATAGCTGTAGAGTTGATGATGTGTAATGTAAGACTTTTCCTAGTTTGTCTTTTTGAGAATCACGTGGATCACTCTTTCTCCATATAAATGGCGTCGTAGTAGTCTTCCCTCCTCACAGAAACCAAGAGTCTCCTTCTCTGCAACAAAAGGGTCACAGAGAAATCTAGAGAGAGAAGCTCAGTAGTAGGAAGATAATTACAAAGATTGATCTTTATTAACAGAGGGAGAATGGGTCGAGCTCCATGCTGTGACAAAGGGAACGTGAAGAAAGGACCTTGGTCTCCAGAAGAGGATGCTATACTCAAAGCCTATATCGACAGACATGGAACTGGTGGCAACTGGATTGCTCTTCCTCAAAAAATTGGTACCTACACACCCAATCTTGTTTAGTTACATTAGTCACTCGCTAATCATCACGAACAAGATCACACACAATGATGTGTTTCTTGAAAGAAAATTGATGGAACATGCACCGATCTTTCATCAATATATCATTACTATATGTATAGTAAATTTCTGTGTGATATGTAATTCCTGGTTATTAATGTGTGATTAATCTTCTGATGTGGGTGAAATCTATATATATAATTCACAGGGCTGAAGAGGTGTGGGAAAAGTTGCAGACTAAGATGGCTGAATTACCTGAGGCCTAATATCAAGCATGGTGGTTTCACAGAAGAAGAAGACAACATTATTAGCAGTCTCTACATTAGCATTGGCAGCAGGTATAGTCAACTGTTTTCTTCTTTCCAATTCCCAAAACACATTATCGTTTGTCTCTTTTCTTTGTCGCCAGAATCTCCGTAACTAAATTGAGAGAAATTATCTTTTTTCTTTAAAAAAAAATTAAGATTGTATTTGAAAGTAGACTGAATAAATTTCAGCAGGAGACTTTCTCATTTCATCCACACGTCGAAATTTACTGTTGTTATAAATTGACAAGTCACTTAAGTTCTCTCATTTAATGAGAATCTTAATTATAATCATAGAATTTTATCAATACTTAAAAATTATTAATATATTTTTTTAAAAGAATTTAAAACAATCCTTAAATCAAAATACTTTTCACATATACCATCCAAAAATTTTAGATTTGATGCTTTTGGTTATTATGTGACAATGTTTTATCACTGTTCAATTAAATTGAACAATTATTATTATGTCATGCGGAAACTTATTAAATAAGTGGATTTAAACCACTTATCAAATCAGTTATCCAAATTAAATCTATTTACAAGTCGTTCCGTGCATCTTCATGATCAATGTGTTATAGGTGGTCCATTATTGCGGCTCAGCTTCCTGGAAGAACAGACAATGACATCAAGAATTATTGGAACACAAGACTGAAGAAGAAACTGCTTGGGAGGCACAAGAATCAGAACAGTGCAGATCAGGACAACTCTGATAATTCCGACCATACCCTCAGCAACTCAGCTCTAGAAAGGCTTCAACTTCACATGCAACTTCAAAACCCTAGTTTCTCCTACAACAATCCTTCCCTCTGGCCTAAATTGCATCCTCTCCAACAAAAACTGATCCACAACACCCTGCAATCCCTGAACCATGCCTCCGATTTCATAACCACACCGCAAAAAGATGATAATGAACTTTACAAACCAGCTTCTGCTAATACTACTGATCATGATGATGATGATGATGCAGTTCAACCAGAAGGTGTAAAGATCAGCAACCCGGAGAGCTCAGGTCCGGTGACCAGCCCGGCTGGCATGAGCCGGATTGATCAGTTTGATATGGGGATGGATCAAGTTTCTGCAATGCAAACTGAGCTTGATGACATTCTCATGAGTGGTTACGTGACACAGCAGCAGAAGCAGGAGGAGCAGGTAGGTGAATATGGTTGTTTCGGAGAGATCATGAGTGGTTCATCGAAGGACAATTTGAGCTGGTGGTCGTCCAATGATTTTGATGCCAAGTCAGCATCCTCGAACTCTTGGGATTCAACTACTAGCGGTAGTGATCCCCAGATTCTTCATCAGGGGATGTTTCAAGATTATGAACTAGGTTATATATTGTAGTCAGAGAAGATAAGAGAAGACCAAAAATTCTCAGCTATAGGTACGCATCTTGAATATATAAGATTAGTAGGAGGAGTCGATGAAGCTTCTTGGGTATGTCAAGTGATGGATATTGACATGCTATAATTAAGATCATTTGATTTTAATAAATATTCATCGACTCCTTTTACTCGTCTGATGTATACAAGAAGGCCGGTAAATTATCATGAATCTCTGTATGATCTGAGGGTAAATTATGTATGAGTTACAAGATGAGTCAAGAGAGGACTCCAGTATTTAGCTGGATGCTGTAAAAATTGTTGAATAAATTTGTGTTTAATAGAAATTGTGCAGTTTGTTGTCTGGATACAAACTTAATGATGACGCTTTGTATCATTTTTATGAAGCTTCAGTAATCGTTGCCATTAATTTCTTTGTTTTTTTTTTTTTGTAGGCAGAACGTCATCAACCCCGGCCTTTGAGCTATTAAGTTGTGTAGCGGTTAACTGTTTTTATTTAAAGAAAAATAATATAATAGTATGCTAAACGTCATTAAGATAATTAGATAAAATGGTATTTATAAAATTTAAAAATATTCATATGATTATGTTAATATACGAAAATGTGAGTGCATTTTATATATATGTGCGAACGCTCTCTCTCTCTCTCTTCAAAAACATTCCATGATATGATGTGATCGAGAGACCGGATCTAATTTCCTCTCATGGCTTCGAATTGATTAAGATCATAAACAAAACGGCGAAGTGTGAATTAATTAATTATTAGTTATTTGCTATTTGCTAGCTGCAAGTGCAAAATCGTTCGTGTTGAAAAGAATTCTACAAAGTCCAGTTTACACTTCTAAGCCCAGCAACCAATCCTAGCTAGCCCATTAGAAGGACTCAATGATGTAAACAAATTGTTTACTGTCCATCCTATGTTGCAGACAAAAGAAATATCTATCTGGATATATTTTAATTTAATTTTGTGGTGTATATACTCTATGTGTATGTGTGCGTGGAACTTACCTTGGCTGGTTCCATTCTCCCATATTCTCCCATATGTCATCTCTAATATTTAATTCATGCTCAATTATTTCCTAATATTTTTCAAATATCCCTTGGTTTTTAATGGTTACAAGTCTAATTATTAATCCGTATATATCTGTTCTGTCATTTTGAGGAACTAACTTATTGTGAAATTTCGTAAGAGATGTTTTGCCCACCCCATGCATAATATAAAAGCCAATAATATCAACTTCGTCCATCATCTCAAAACATGACAACAATAGTCTTTCCCTCTTTCCCATATCCTTTTTAATCAAAAAAATAGTGGTAAATTCTCTTAGCTATGATATCAAGATGTCTATTGCCTATAAAATTATTTATGTCAAACAACTATTGCTTCATCGCCTTTGATAGTTTTATAGGATGAAGTGAAGTGCTTGGAACAACCACGCCCAAACATGCATTTGATAATCTCATTATAATAACTTTTTACCAAATTTTAATTTGTTAAATGAACTTTTAATAAGTAAGCTTTTGGCAAATGTTGAGAACAGGTACAAATACTAAGATTCCTTTTTAAAAGCGAGCATGGGATTTATTATATTTTCTGTTTTGTTTATAATATTTTTTACATCTAGCTTTTGTCATATTATTTATAAATAAATACCTTATGTACTATAAGTTCCATCCCATTGGGCCCAAAGTGGTCCAATATCACCTATAGTCATATTCCAAGCTTCAATTAAGACCTGACAAGCCCATTTGTCATCCGTTAACCACGTTTTACTCAAGTTAGCCTACAATTTACCATATTGCCTTTAATTAGCTTGATTATTTTTATTTAAAAAATTTAGAATTTTTACATATAGCCTTTATAATATCACTTACAAAAAAATATCTTACCCAATCTTGTCACATTATTACATGTTTGAAAATGCATTCGCAACGACCAGAACATAATTTTAGTATAAGCAACGTTAGAGTGACTTTTAACAAAAAATTTGATTCAAATCCCATCATAATTCTAAACCCATCCTTAATTAGATAACCACCCTTATAAAATTTTCTCAATCAAAATCATTCTTTCTTGCACTTTCTTACTCCATTCTTTCATTGAATCTGTTTTTAATATTGGAATTGCAACAAATGCTTATTTAATTTAGAATGCAACAATTTAAAACCTTTTTTATAATGTAAATATGATAGAACCACTTTTGCCGCAATGGCCTACGAGACAAAACTTAGGAAGATTCGAGCAAAGGGAAAGCAACCTTTTGATGATCAAGGCATTGACCTTGAGACTCCTAATGTTAAAGAGAAAGAAACAAGCAATTAGTATTGCTGGAGGGTTACTATAGATCTGGGCTATAAAGGTAGTACTGGAGACTGTGAATGTTATTTTTTGACTTCTATTAGTGCTTGGAGTATCCTTGCAAAAAACAAGTCATATTTTTTATTTTGAGTGAGAGGTAAGATTGGTTCTCAAAAATTAAAGAGCATGCTTGATAGTATTGTTGTAATATCTCATTTATCTAATCACAATTAATACTTAAAATTAAGGTAATCAAGGGAAGAATCTAAAGATGACTATCAAGTTTTATAATTTGAAGTAATGGGATCCCAAGTTTTTCTAGTTTAAAATAAATCAAAGTGTGTGTTAAATTTGTAATCAGAGTAAGAATACTATTTCGAAAGTATGAGATATCTCTAAGGAGTGAAAAGATTTGAAAACAATCGAGAAACAACAAGTTCTAAAAAATAGTACAGTATGCCACGGCATATTACATGTTTTTTACAACAACTTTACTATCATTTGACAACAATTTTAGACAGCTTTTGATGTGCTTTATTTCTCCATCCTACATCCAAATAAGGTGATCTAGGTGTCTACAAAAGATCTTTTCATAAACTAACTAATGGCATGTGTTTTATTACCAAATCAAGTCACACAAGAAAGTTGGACATCCAAATACATTTTCTAATTGTTTTCACAATTTTCACAACTCAATGATGTCCAAAACTCCACACATATGCCAAAAGCCATTCCTTACACCCAACCCATATTTAATAGACTTAAGACTATTTGTACAATACATTATATGCACATATTTTCAATCATAATAAATTTTCACTCCTCAACCTCTAAAATATAAAAAACAATAGGGGAGGTCCTGGTATTACATTTACAATCAACATCCATAGTTATAATTAAAACAACATCCTTATAGTTGTACTAGTATTTTGGCTCTATTAAATACTTAGTAACCTACACACAATACTCTAAAGCCTAAAATACATCTCAAATTCATTAATAACGATGTAGTATGAGTGTAAACAACATGCATCCTAATTGATAATATTTAAACTATTATATAAAATAGAAAGAGGTTAAGAGGTTGTATAGAAGGAATCTTAAATTCCTAAGCCTCAAGAGTCTTTCTCTTTTTTGCATTAGAGCAAGAGCCTATAACATGTTAAATAGAGAGGTGGGTCTAGCCACTTAATAACCAAGGAACATCTACCTTATGCAGTTATATATCAACTGATTTAAATGCATAAAAATTAGTTGATTACTCTAAGATATCGAATTACATATGACACAAGTTATAATTTCACAATTTAATTGATTTTTATATTTCTCATCTCAATCACAAAGTACATTACCACAAAATGCATGGACACATGATAATGACTTAATTCATCTGTTCCCTGCTCATTGTCACAATACAAATAACCATGCGACAATGGCATATTTACTATTACGACTTGTCACAAACTTAACAACCATATGATATGTCAAATAAATGCATTTGCATGATCAAAACCTCATTATACCTTCCAACTGAAACCATGGGTTATAATATCAATTAAGGCTTTATCTATGTGACTGAGCCAACCAAGTTCACCAATCATGAGGTGTGACCTGGTCAAAGATTATAATACTCACTCTCAGACTACAGTTTCCTCCACTCTCAAATCTTTAAGGTGTCGTATACCCTAAGCTAATCTCCTCAATAAATAGGTAAAAATAACTATATTCTAATCCCTCAACAAACTATGAGATAGTCTCTTGACAAATAGTGAGACAAGGCTATGCCTTTGTGCACTGAAAGGCAACCGTATATATCATATGGATTTTATCTACTCCTCTCTTTTGACAAATTCCTGCCAACTGATTATGCAATGTATGATAATCACTTATTTCACAATCTCATTGATTCAATCTCAACACATTGGGCTTATGATACTATGCTACTCAAGTAAGCATCAATATTATTTTCACAACATTAGTCACTTTTATTCTTAATTTTATACCCAATTCAAACTCTCATTTAGCCTCACATGTCACATTCACATACTAATACAAACTTATCATCATCATATTACATATCCCATATCACACATCATAAATTTCTTATTTCAATGCACATTCATAGTTTGAAATATTCATTTTGAATTCAACTTCACATTTATGTAAGATTAATATTAATATACTAACATATGGTTTATAGTATGCTTTGACATTTATAAATTCAGTCATGCATGCAAATAATCCCATTTTCACATTAAAATTCAATTAACAAGCAATTACCTACAATAGGGTTCCCCTGATTATCTCAAACATTTGAAAGTTTAAATATTTACCCTTCAATATATATTTCCAAGCTTGTTGTTCAAGCCCATAATAGTGCCCAAACAATTAATTAAGTTCAAACTCATCAACATTATCATATGCATATACTTCAAACTCTCACATTTTCATTTCTAACATATCTAATGTTTTTACTTCTCACATTTAAATTTATCCATTAGGTTAAATAGCCTTTATCACTCTCAACCATCAATCATCCAACTCATATAGAATCACTAATGTCACAACAATCCTCGTAAATGCAAATTTATCACCCATTTTCGAACATTAATGGCTCCCAGCCATCATTAATGTCTAAACTCATAATTTTTAAGTTTAAATATTCAAAATAACTCATATTTAACTCTATTTGAATCAATAGATTCGGAACCATAACCTATATGGACTGAAAATCACTTCTGTCACAAGCCCTAACTCTCAAAACTTAAGAAAAATGGGTTGAGAAGGGAAAAGAAGAGGTTAGGAGGCTTACCATTAGGACTTAGTGGCTTCAAAATGCTCCAATCTTCCTCTAAAATAAACCTCAACAGAGCTCATCGCCCTTTCTTGTGCTCCCTTTTTTTTCTCTTTTAATTTTTGCATTAGTTCACATTTAAATTTTGCAAAAAGTGCACCTTGCATTATGGCACCTATCCCCATGCCCCCTTGGTATGTGTTATGGAGAGGGCTCTTTACCTGTGTGCTGCTGCACGTAACATAGAGTCATTTCTTCTTATTTTTTTACTTTTTAATATTCGGGTGGCTCGACTTTACTTTGAACCTAATCATAAGACTAAAATCACCAATAAAAATATCTGGTAGCTCTATGTAACCACGCATCACATTATATCAGCACTCACTAACTATCCTCTAACTCTATTTAATAGATTAAACTCCATTATCCTGCTGATCAATTAAGAATTAAAATTTGAAATGTTACAGCCGCAGTGTTATTGTTCTGTTTGAATGTTCTGGTTGTTTTAGGAAATAAGATTTGTTCTAAATCAATAGAGCGATTTTGTAATACGGATTTAGCCTTTTAAAATTATCAATATCAAATCTCAGCATTTTCCTTGATCTGTTGCTATTTTATTATTTTTATTTCTGCATTTTTTTATGCATCGAACGACAAGGTTCCATCAGAATACAAATAGTTGTCGCATCGATAACAGGAATGAAGCCTTTACTGTCCCACCTCTCTACAGTCTTGTAATATTTTAATTTTTCATTTTTTTTTCCCTTCTGAAAATTAGATTTTACCAAAGAGACGTTTTGCAATTTCTACGATATTTTAAAGAAAAATAAATCAAAACTACACAATTCCAGGTTTTTTTCTTTAAAAATTATAAAAATATAAAAACTATGTCTTTCATTTTATGTAAAATCTAATAGCGAGAAAAAAAATCATTTTAAACCGTTGGTATATTACATGGGTCATTAAAGCAAGACGTTAAGTCTTAAGCGCCCCCCCCCCCCTCCTCAAAAAAAAAGGGGGAAAAAAACGAAAAAAGGAACATGATATCTGCCGGTATCTGTCTGTAAGGGATGAAAAACTATATAGTCTAAAAGTTGGCGAGTAATAACAAAGGAAAAATCTGAAACTAGTTATAGTTACGTTGAATTGTATTTCCTTACCTTACCTTTGCAAGAGTCATGGTTCGAAATCTCTGAGATGGTTTGGTGGTTTCCATGAAGGAATGAAGAATCCGTTATCTGATTATGAGGGGCAGTCCTTGGAGATGAAAAAGCTAAGCTAAGCGCGCCACCTGAAGAAACAGCATGAATTAAATCAAATAAACGAGAGGATATAAAAGGAAAGGATTCATTTGTTCACGCAAATGGTCAGTTTACATGTGAACTATCTTTACGTACGTTTAAACCTCCCTTCTCTATCACTCAAACGTGTGTGTGTGTGTGAGATGTATTGTTTAAGCAAGCAAGGTGTGATCTTTGATGAGTTTCGTTTCACCTGTCGAAAGAGTAAAGTCAAAGCTCTCAAAAAGGAACCATCTGAGAATACGAAAAGATTACATCGTTTTTTAAGGCTGAAAAAGTGGCCTTCTCACGATATCCTCACGCTGGGCTTCCACAAGAGAGAAACCACAGTACCACCCACAAAACAAAAACTGCTCCTAAATTCCTGACGTCTCTATTGAAAACGTAATCTTTTTAGTTCTGAACGCAGGACCTTAAGGAAACTATATAATAATAAGTTGGGTCAATTAATCTGGTTGCTTCATAGTCAAGTATGGCGTGAATGATGCTCAGCCCTCGCACTATATATCTTGTTCTTCAATGTGCAAATTTGCCTAATTCACGTAAAGTTGACCACACCCACTTCTCAACGGATGAATCCATGAATGAATTATATGCATGCCTCCCTACTTTTAGGTTCTACTCCACCACCCCTTAAACCCCCTCCATTTTTTATTCTCACGCCAAATTAAATTAACTATTCCAATTCATATTAAGGCAAAATCAAATTAGAATTCCTCTCTCAAGCTCAAAATAATCTGTTTTTATCATACCCCATTTTATAATAATCTGATTCATCTGTACGAAAACTTTTAATTAGTCTGGAGTTTGATTTATAAGATTGGTAGAAATTGTTTCAGATCTTATAAGAAGTCAAAAGGGTTATCCCAGAAGCACGAAAATGAACACGAACTAGTGCGTACAACCTAAGATACATTGGAATTTATTAGTATCGTTATCACTGCACGAGATTGTCGAAGCCTCTCAGAGAAGCGCAAACTTCGATCTTGCTTTCATAAAAAAAATCATCTCTTTCTCAGTTCTCCGACTTCTTCTCGGCATTATGAAGCCTTCCAAGTCAGAGAGAGGACGATTCGTCTTCCTCTGTTTCTTCCTCATCATCTCCCTCTGCGTCTATGCCTCCATCAATGAAGCTCGATTCGATGACTTGTTAAGATTCACTCGTGGCTGTGCTGCAGCAAATAATTCTTCTACTTCCCCCTCCGATGGCGGCGGCAATGACATCCGAATTCTCATCGGAATTCTCACTCTTCCCGACCAGTACCTCAAGCGGCACTTCCTCCGACTAGTCTACGGCATACAGTCTGTGGAAGGCGCGAAAATTGACGTCAAGTTTGTCTTCTGCAATCTAACAAAAGAAGACCAGAAGACTCTGGTGGCTTTAGAAATCATGCGACACGACGACATTATAATCCTCAACTGCCCAGAAAATATGAACAAAGGCAAAACGCTAACGTACTTCTCCAGTCTCCCGGATCTCTTCAACGACACCGACCGACCGTACCCTCCGTACCACTATGTAATGAAAGCCGACGACGACACGTACTTGAGACTACCCAACTTGGTGGAATCTCTGAAGCCGTTGCCGAGGGAAGATCTGTACTACGGGTATGTGATTCCGTGCCGGAGCATGGACCCGTTCGTGCATTACATGTCGGGGATGGGGTATCTGGTGTCCTGGGACATAGCGGAGTGGATAAGGGAGTCGGAGATTCCGAGGAAGCATTTCGAGGGGCCGGAGGATAAGGTATTCGGAGAGTGGATGAGGGAAGGACGGCGAGGGAAGAACAGGTTCAACGGGAAGTGGTCGATGTACAATTTTCCGGAACCGCCGACGACGTGCACACACGAACTGTGGCCGGACACGATCGCCGTGCATTTGCTGAAGAATCAGGAGAAGTGGATTCGAACGCTCAAGTACTTCAATGTTACGGATAGCATGAGGCCTTCAAAGTTGTATCATATACCTTAGGTTGCTTAATCTTCTAGCTTATTTTTGGTTAATTATTTTTGACCATTTTGTTTATTGATTTATTTTTACATAAAACTTGAAATAAGAAGGGTTGGTTTTGGGGTCTGATAATGGGTTATATTCTTTTCTTACGTTTATGTGCTGAACAGTAGATGTGATTTTTTCTTCAGATAGAGAAACAGGGTTAGGGATGGCGAGGACAGAAATTATGAATACAGGGGAGGGTATTGAGCCTAAATGGCCCATGTCTTGTCTTTCTCCCATTTCCTTTGCACGCTCGTCAAGTAATGAAATGGGAAAAAAATAACTTACATTATATATACTGTTATTTTTTTAAAAAAATCAAATTTCAACATGCCAAAACTTATCCAATCACAGACAAAACAATATTATCAATTGCCTTGTACCGCAATGACATTAAGCATCCCTATCGAGTGTTTTTAAGTGTGGGTTTGCCAGTTTTACCCTCTACAAATGTGATGTATGCTTGAATTCTTTCATCTTAATAAGAGAAATTACATTTTTTAGACTCTCTAGTTATTTTTCTCACACTAGGACATAATTTATGAGTGTCCTTGAATGATTTGTTAGAATAACAAATTTATTAAAATCAATATTTCCTTTAACTTAATTGGAGCTCTCACTTTTTCAATATTATTTTCCTTACAATCATCATATCTCTAATATTATCAATAAGATTAAGGATTTGATCACGAGATATAACTTTTAACCACGTTTTTATAAAAACAAATAGATACTTATATTAACTTGTTTCTTATACATCAAACATCAAACAACAATTTAGACACTATGAGTAGAATCACCTTTACAGAATGGAGATTTTATTTGATCTAACATAAATTGATTGCTATTGTTGCATGATTTTTTGTGGCCTTTAATTTTTTTTAAAGAAGAAGAATGACAAAAAACAATATTGTTTAAAGCAGTATTATTTTCTCACATGATATATATTAATTAATATCATCCTTTTCTGTTAATACATTGAATTTGCATGCCTAATTTCTTTTATAGATCATGGTGAATTATTAACATCTTAAATTTTGACAACTACTTAGCCCCTTTTTCCCCAATGTTTTTTACCAACATTTTTACAATGTAAAAAACATAAACAACTGACTTGGGGAGTTTACCTTGTTAGTCCAAAATTAAAACTTATTTCAACCTAAATAGTTCTAACTTTTTGTTTTTATCTGTCAAAAAAAAGCTAAAAGAATAATTCTACACTTTTTATACTGCCTTTTGCATTCATGTAATCTTTGTAGCCTCTTTATTTATTTATTTATTTTTGGTATATGTAACTTCTTTGTTTTTCTAATGCTCATGTCTCAAGTTTAAGCCGCCATAATCATTTTTAACAAAAGCAAACTCGTTATTGGTCTGTGACGTGGTCAGGTCACGGGTGGGTAACACAGTCATTCTCCCATGCCGTTGCACCGGGGGTTCGGCTGCGGGGTCCGTTCTTTTGACCTGGGCCTCTGCTTTTTGGTGAAGCATCAAACTGCCTCCTTAGTCCGCAGACTCTGCAGCCAGCTGTGCCATACACTTGCATCAGACAACGGCTTGGACCTGAGGCGGCGGCGGCGGCAGTTGGAGGCCGCAATCAGGGTTTGAATTCGGCGTTTCCTCTCCGCTCACTATCTCTTCAGATGTAAGCATCATTTCTCTTCATCCCATTCTTTCGAAGCTTCGAAAGATTAATGGAACCGATCGCCAGTGATTCTTCTTCTAGTTATGAGATTTGTTCGTGTTTGTCTTTTTTTGGCCCCCGGAACTTACTTTACTTGAGCTTATTTCTCTGGGTATCGGGATGTGGTTACTTCTATAGAGATTTACGGATAGACATTACTATTTGGGAATTTGGTCAAGCAGCTGAGGCATTTGAGTGCCTTCGTTTTTCGTTATGGAAGGAATCAGAATAGTAGGAGTGTTTTGGCTTTGAGATTTATACCTTTCTACCTTTGCTTATTCTGAAATATTTCGTTTGAGCTGGTTTCTTTCTCTTGGGATCGGTTTGCGAGTGCTTTGTTGGAGTTTCAGGTAGGCATTTCCATTTGGGCAAATTTGTTCAGCACTGTTTACAAGAGTGCGCTTGTTTCGGCAATGAGAGAAATCAGGATGGTTAATATTAGCGACAGACACTAGGAGTCGATGTGTATTTTTCATTTGTACGAGAATGAATGCTGAACAGTGATTATAGATTGTACCCTATGCTGAGCTTCAGTTAGGAGAAGAGGGCTTTGAGGATGATAAGTAGAGTTTTAGGTTTCGTATATATTTCTTTCTACTTTCTGTTATTCTGGTTGGGGCTGGCCAAGAACTTCTCTGGAGGCATTAGGAATTTAGGGCAAATGATCAGATCATCTACCACTTCCACTTATCTTATATTTGTAAAAGTGAAACAAAGGAGGAGCCAGTAAGAATTTGTTCAAGGTAGTTAACTATAGATGTTATCGAACACATTTGAGGAAAATATTCATGTTAAAGAAAAATGCATGCAAACCTAACACGTTACTCAGGTGCACATTCTTAACTCCCACCAAAATGCAACAGTTACTGGGAAACTCAATTGAATCTCAAAAAGTCATTTTGGACATTTCGTGTGCACAATTAATTTTCATATTGGCTATTACCAAGACTAGCTACTCAAGCATCTCAATCTCCGGCTATTGAGTTTTTCTTAGGTTTTATGCTTGGTGAATGTTGGGCATGCAGGATCATGGCCTATGCATGCTTTTCTTGTCCTATAGAGTTCAAAATATAACTAAAAAGTAGAATTTGTACTCATAAATGGGATAAGAAAAATGTTCAATAGCTTTAACTTCAGATTTATTTATCAGTATTTCTCAAAGCTTTCTTCATATTTCCTGAATTAGTTTACTGATCATCATGCACTTGCAAGCACCTCATGTACTTGTAAACGAGGCTTTATTACACGTTATTTGTATGAAAACTTGTTATACAGAACACTGATGCAGTTTCATATGATATTGATAACTATGCACATGTCAATAAACTTATGGAGCTTCCTTGGGACTTCTTCAAGTAGTTGTCACGTGTAGATCTTCCATTATTTGTTGGCATAGTTGTTTTTTAAGAGACAATACAATCTAATGACTTGTAGGTCTAGCTGTGCTTTGAACATGTTTTTAATTGCTGGATGATTTTATTTGTAAGGTGTTGTAACTTGTTAGAAAGACATTATTATTACGCTAACAATTGCATACATATCAATGCATGGTACTGTTATGATTTTATTATATTCCTTCATTTTATTCTGTTATTTTATTATTTTTAGTTGGAAGTGTAACTTACATAATAATTGTGCTATCCCAGTTGCAGTATACCTCATTCTGACTAATTATGGCCAATGGTCCAGCACCATTTTCTGATATTGGTAAAAGGGCAAAAGGTAAGCATGTAATTGAAATCTTGACACACCCATTTCCGCATCTTATTTTGTTAAAGGGTGCTCTTCATGTTATACCCACACATATAAGTCTATTACTGACTTTTTTTTGGGTGGAGATAGCATCCCTCACTCTCTGATTTTCTATCGTTTGCCTCACAGCTATTGCATGTGCATCATATCTATAGGTCAGCCTAATGTTACATGTTCACTTATATAGAGAAACAATCTCAACTGGCTATTCTGATTCTCTTGTTCTCCAACTTTAGTAGTTTTTTTATTTTCAATCCTTCTGCTTTGTTGTATGAATATTAGTCTTATACAATTTTCACTCCTAGAGTTCTTTACCCAATGTAGTCAAAGATGCTCACCTTGGTGCTTGTAAGGTGCTCATTATGTGCCTTTCTCATGTGAGAGTATAAGTCCAATTTCAAAACCTGTAAAACATATCCAGGAAAGCCCAGTATTATATGTAAGAGAATAGTGTAAAATAGTTATTCTCACTTTAAAAAATTTATTTAGGCTATTTGTTTTTCAGGTTTTTGTGATATAAACATTCAAAAAAAAAAAAAAGCATCAGAGACTGCCATATCATGAGCCAACTTCCATTTACAGTCTTAAAGCCTATATATGAACATTCATTAGCAAGAACATGTAAACAGCAACTTTATATACATAAACTACAAATGGTAGGATTTGGATTAAACTCTTTTATTGATCTTCATGATCATGCCCCACTGTTACTATTAAATCCTATAAATTCCAATGCATATGATCTTTTGTTATTTTGCAATTTGTAGCTAGCTCATCATGATGTTGATGCCTTTTTTTTTCAAGAGTTTATATGTCAAATGTTATTTCAAATTACCTTTCTTTTTTGTTTATATGGCATATTTTTTCTATGCTTCAATACCTTGATTTACCCAAGCATGCTGCCTTCACCTTTCTAGCACCTCTTTTCTAAGGCATTCTAGAGGTCTAGTACCTTAAGTGGGCCTTTTGCCTTTGACTATCTTGCTTTGACCTAGTGTTCTTCAATGGCTTCTTCAACCTTCTTCAGGCTCAGTTTAGTTCTCACCTTATTCAGCAACAAATAAATTTTGCTAGAACCAAAAGAATGTTTACGACAATCAACTCAACCAAAAAGTAACAATCACCCTTGGCTACATCTGGCATAACTAGTTAATTACCTTAATAACTGAAAGTCACATGGCAATAATAAAAGGATAGAATGTCAAGGAAAATAAAATCTGGAAATCACCAAAGTACACCAGCTATATAATCCAGGACGCACAAGCCTGGAACAATATAACACCAGGAGGAGAAAAGAGCGCTCCACTTAATAAACCAAGTTAATAGCTCACAAAAATGGCTGAATTTAACTTGCTTATGCATGTTTAGTCCAGAACCAAGTCGACCACCATGCTTTGCCAAAAAACACAGAACAGGAGGCAGTCAAGCTCTAATCTAGGATGTCCTAAATTTCTTAGAAATTGAATATAAGAGGAAATTCATGCTGCTGATGTGTTAAAAAATATGGAGGAAACACTCCACTTTGTTTAAAGTTTAAAAATATGCTCGTCTAAACACCTATGGCTCGACTTTTATTTTTAAATTCACTGTATTTAAAACAATCCATCCTTGGATATGTATAAGTACAACAGTAACTCTCCGGGTTGTTATGCCTAAACTTAAGAGATATGTTCCAGCCATGCAAGGTGGTTGGATTATATTTGAAATAGGAGCTATGTCACTCAATTCCTTGATTCTAGCCTGTCAATCGAGTCTTCATCTAGATTATTGTCTTCCTTATTTCAGTGTGATATATCCTTGTCAAATTGCATCAGTATTTGAAGAAAAAAAAATCTAATTTTTTTGCCAAAAAAATTCTTATCTTCTGCAAAGTTATACTTGTGGCTTTTTTAAGTTATGAATATTCTGATTCTTTTGCAGATCTCTTGTACAAGGACTACAATTTTGACCAAAAGTTTAGCCTGTCAATTCCAAGCTCTTCTGGATTGGTAGAAGCTTATCCTGTGTTTTGCTGTTTTATTATTTTATATTATTTTGATTTTCACTTTCACTTTATACTTATTGCTTAATTGATGTTGGAACTTTTTGGGTTGACTATCCCATGATTTTCTCTAATTTTATTTGCACCAATCAAGTATATATTGAACATCCCTTGGCAAATGATAAGCTGGAGAGATGCTGTTTTACATGGATATTTGTATTCTCTTCTCCTCTATGTTGGGTTTCATCTTTCCTTCGATAAAGTCTTTGAAGGTATTGGCCCCAAAAACAAAAACAAAGAAAGAAAGAAAAGGTTTTGCTTCTTCAACAAGAGAAAAGAAGAGTGATAGGATGGATTATATATAATGTACAATGGATTAAGTGGTAAATATATTTTTATGAACTTGATGTTAGACCACATAAAAATGTTGAATCTTATTTAGGATATTTAACTAAATTATGCTACGGTACATTTTTCATTGAACAACCAACTGTATTCTATAAACTATAAATCTTTGAATCTATTTTCTTTTATTTCAATAATAGAATTTTTGGTTAATTTAGCAGAAGGGGGATCACAACACTGGCTCTGCCAGTATAGATTGCTTTGCTTTTCCCTTGTGCTTGATGGTTTTACGAATTTCCCTTAGCTCTGCCAGAAGGGGGAATGAGAACTGAGAAGATTGATTGCTGATAGAAATTTTGATCATTGCACCTTTATGGTGTTCTGTTGTCTAGCCTGCCTGATTTCAAATGCAAATTTCCGTCCTGCAGGGCCTTATAGCTACAGGTTTCAAGAAGGACCAAATTTTTGTTGGTGATATTAATACCCTTTACAAGAGTGGAAATACTACCGTTGATGTGAAAATTGATACATACTCCAGTGTAAGAAACTTTGATCATGTCCTTTAAACTAATATGCTGCTTTTCATTTCACTTACATATATTATAGATTATAGATACTATACTGCAATTGGTTACTGTGATGCATCATCAAAACGTTATATCATGGCAGGTATCAACGAAAGTGACTGTCCATGATATCTTCTCTAACACAAAAGCAGCCTTGAGCTTCAGTATACCTGATCATAAGTCGGGCAAGGTGAGTATAACCCAACTTCCCTTATGTTTGATCCCGCTGGTCTTCATGGAGCAGAAAATTGCGATTATGCATTTGGATTTTGCAAATACTATAAATGCTATATTTGGCTTTCTATCTTTGTGGATTTTTTTTTAGTTTGTTACTACCATGGCTTCAGAGGTTGGCCCAGTTTCATAACTGTCAAATGAATCAATTACACAACATGCAAGAGCTAATTTGTTTTGGACTGAATCAATAAAATGATTGTATTCATCAAGTCATGCCCAAAAATATGTGATTGGCATGGCATACATGGTAGTTGTTTGAGATGTTGTAATTATTGTTCAAAGTTTAGATAAATAAACTTAAAAGCTGGTTTTTTTTTTTTTTTGCCAAACAAAAGAATAGAAATTCTAAAATTCACTTATTCCCTTATTGAGATCAATTGATGTTTTGAACATTTCATTAGTAGAACATTGGAACAATATTTACTTTGACGTTCATGCTCTGCATCTGACCCGACAAATATCACTTCAGCTGGATGTCCAGTACCTTCATCCTCATGCTGTCTTCGATTCTAGTATTGGCTTGAATCCAGCCCCTCAGTTGGAGCTTTCAGCAGCTATTGGTTCCAAGGATCTCTATGTGGGCGCTGAAGTTGGATTTAATACGGCATCTGCTTCATTTACAAAATATAATACTGGGATTACTTTCAATAAACCAGATTACTCTGCAGCACTCATCCTGTAAGTGTTATTCACCATATTTATTGGTTTATTATTATTCTTCTAGTGTCTCGATAAGTCAATATTATCCTTTTTTAGTTGCAACAAGTTTTGCCGTAGAATTATGTGTGTATGTGATTTAAGTAGACATTCATTTTATTTGGTTATACTGGCACTGATTGGTTTTAACCCTCAACTTATGTTTTCGGTTCCTTCCTTAGAAAAAAGGTTTTAATTTGTGATTTGAATGTCTTCCCCTGAGATGTATTTTCAATGCAAGAATTCTGATTTGGAAAAAATATTTGCCCAAGAAAAAAATTCTTCAGTTATTAATTGATCACATGATCATATCTGTATACAAGATAAACATTCATGAAATGGAAATCCGTTAAGCAGTTTTCCCCCACCCCCCTTCTAAATAGAGGTCAAATATCTATAAAAAAGAAGGAAATACAAGTAAAATGATTTTTCCGATCAGGGGGTCAGAAATTATAGTTAGAATCCGTTTGATAAGTTATAATGGAGGATATATTACGCAGCTAATAATAAATTCTTTAGATTTGTGTGCTTTAGTATTTATTTATTTTTTTTAAAGAAATAAAACAATGCAACTCACTATTTGTTGATGCAGGGCCGATAAAGGACAGGCCCTGAAGGCGTCTTACATTCATTATGTGGACCGACCGGATGGATTTACAGTTGCTGCTGAAATGACACATAGATTTTCCTCGTTGGAGAACGGATTTGCCATTGGAACCTCACAGACAGTAAGTCCTGGCACCTTGGTAAAGACTCGATTCACTAAAGACGGCAAGGCCGCGTTCCAATGCCAACGAGCCTGGAGGCCTAATTCGCTCATAACCCTCTCCGGTGAATATGACTACACTAAGGCCTCAAGTTCGTCCGCCAAGTTTGGTCTTGCTCTTGCCCTCAAGCCTTGACATGGTCTGTCCTTCCAACTCTTTCTGGCGACTTATTTATCCCCCTCATCATTTTACATTATTTCCAGAACCCATGGTGGGTTATGGTTTTCTTTTTTCTTTTTAAAGCTCAATCATATATCATGAATGGAAACCAAAGGAACTCGCAGCATTTGTGAAATCTTTCATAGCAGCAAGGGAAAAAGAGAACCCAGTTTTGAAATGTTTTTGTAATGGTTATATTTTTTGAAGCCGATTTCGGTACTGCCATATGCATTGCCCAGCATATGATTTTCTTCGTTACGGTCAATAAATTGATACGTCGTGACCTTTTGATGTGGCCTTTTTTAATTTTATCATCACGGTCAATAAACATGTTTTCAGGCATTCATTGTTAGTGAGATACTTTTCTATTTTAGGAGAATTACTTTGAAATCTTCACAATATATTTAAATATTATGTAATTCATTGACAACTTAAAAGAAAATGACAAATTGACAACTAACATAGATGTCATTTTATTTTGTTAAGTTATTAATATATTTTGTGGTATTTAAACGAGTTTTGAAGCACTTATATATTATTCTCTCTTCTATTTGTTTTTTCAGAATGTTAAAATTACAAAAAAAGATGCAATGCATAGAGAAATTAATTTTTAACAGGACAAACTCTTGGAAATTAGAGGAAAATAATAGTAATATACTTATTTATATGATGATTTTCACGTCTTCAAAATTTAAATTTTTAGAGTAACCAATGTTTCTAATAAAATATTAAATTTGACTACATTAATTATCGTATCAAAGGTTATAAATTACAAGATCTTATATCTAGTCCCAAAAATTCAGTTGTCCAAATAATCGGAAAAAGGGTGAAGAAGGTACGGCTTTACCAAATCCGTAATGTTCTGTCTAACAATTTGAAACCTAATGCAATTGTGCTTAAACTTCATGTTAAACGGTGACAAAATTTTGAAAAAATTATGTTGATGTTTCTCAACATTAGCATTGCTTATTTTTGTAGCAATAATCTAAATGTAAATTTGTCATTACGTCATGAAGAAGAATACCTTTTTTATAATATACAAGACTAAAATGTGTTTTTCTTAATGGCAAACCATTTAATATATGATATCATGGGCTAATTCATATTAAAGTTGGATGGAAATATTAAATTGTAATTTTATAGAGTTCAAGATAATATCCATGATAATTTATTTTTATTATCTTAAAAATTTCAACTTCTAAGAGTCATTAATCTTTTTAATACAAGTTGGGAAATCTTTTTCCAATCAGTTTTCCACGAGTTTAGTACAAGTAATTTTATAAAAATGTACCTTTCTTCCAAACGCGTCTAGTCCAAATCAGGTGAAGGTTATTTTCCATCTCCATCAAGGAGGGAAAATTTCGGATCTAAACCCGATCCAAGGAATGACCCGTGTCCGATTAACCGATTTTCTTGGCCGTGACTTGCGAGGGCCGGATTGCTGGACCCTCTCTTCGTCTTCGATCCAAAATAGCAAAGCGAGCTATCTCTGATCTCTCTCTCTCTCTCTCTCTCTCTCTCACACCAGATCTCTCTTGAGTCCTTAGATTCCCCGTAAATCCCTACTTCTTCGGAGCCAAAAATGTCGAACAGCGATACAATACCTCTTCACCCCTCGTCCCAGTCCGACATTGACGAGATCGAGAACCTCATTCATGCCAGCGTCCAATCAAGTCCCGCCACGGTTCTTCCCGCCAGGCCTCCCAGTCCTCCTCGAGCTTCAATTCCCGTATCTTCTTCCCCTTTCATTCCTTCTAACCTTCCACCACCACCACCACCTCAACCTCCGCAACAATCCTCCAATCAGAAGCCCCCAACTGCGCTAGCTGTCCCTCCAGTTCTAACCTCATCATCAAATGGCCGTCCGACTATCGCTTCCGATGGGTTCGGTTCCATCCCTAATACGCTAACTGAACCGGTCTGGGACACTGTCAAGAGGGATCTTTCGAGGATTGTTAATAATCTGAAGCTGGTTGTTTTCCCCAACCCCTTCCGTGAAGACCCTGGGAAGGCTTTGAGGGATTGGGATCTATGGGGACCTTTCTTCTTTATCGTGTTTCTGGGTCTCATTCTATCATGGTCCGCGTCTGTCAAGAAGGTAAGCATGCACAACGGATCAATTTGTTTACCCCGCTACTGTGGTTTTCTTTCTAAACAGTTAGTTTTCGTGTTACTTCGTTTTTGGAAAGTTGAGTGTTCATTAATCATTCTTTTGAAACTTGGTTGATATAAATTCATGATCTGATGAATGAACTTGAGGGCTAAATTTATCTATAAATATTAAGTCAATGCAGGAATTGACAGTGCTTGGTTGAGTTCTAGTCTCTGATTGTTTATTTGGCTTCTTGATTTTCATTTAGTGAAATATCGGTACATCTCTCTGGTCATGTTTGTCACAAAGCTTTGAGACCCCCTTTTCTCCCCAATATTTAAGATAGTGATTCTGATCTCTGTCATTTGTTTTCCTGTACCTATCGAACTATCAAATCTTGGAGAATGAATTCAAAGCTATTCGACATGGAGATGTGATGATATCAGTTTACTTAAGTTTCTATCAGTAGAAGGGGCTTCACGGGGACCTCTGAATTTGATTAAGGAATCGATTATGACTTTCAACATCTCAATTTGACGGGATGTATTTTTGTTGGAGAAGAAATATAGATTCTGAAGTACCAAATTTGTTGCTCCATGAATTACAGTAGGAGGACTTTGTTATGAGTTGTTTCTTTGACTTCAGTCACCTAACTTTTGTCTTATGGAAGTGTGATGGATATTTTATCCCTTTCAACTTCTGATAAAGTTTGGTTAGGATTTAGAAATTATGTTCTTCATGAGGAAATTTGGCACCTTCAAATTGTTCATACATGTTGTCATTCCAATAATTTGGCTACAACATGTTCTCTCAGGAAGTTAAGTGAGTTTTTTGGGTAGAGAAGTTTACATTTTTCCATGAATATCTAATTTATTTTTAATTATATTTGATACTGTCTTTTTTCTGTTTTGCTTTTGCTGTTATAACTAGTAAGCTGATAGGAATTTGGGAACTCAGTTTATTGTTGGTCTGATGGGAGATGCAGAACCTATTGTCTGCAGATTTTATTTTGTGTAGAATCCATCAAAAGGAGTTGATTTTGAGAATCACACACACACACACACACACACAATTGGCATTATTTATGTGTATTAGCCTTCATACTTAATCTTTCATGTCCATGTCTGTTGCCACCGTTACCATGCTAAAAACGAAGCTAACAATTTGAAAAACTAGTTAATAATTTATTTTTCAAGCTCAATTTTCTTTTGTATTTTTAATGAGCAAATCCTAGGATGTTAAAATACTGTCCTTACACATATTATAGAAGTTCAAGTCCCTGCTTAGGCATTCAGGATTCGTTGTCTATCGCATTTGGTCCCAGAGAATGTTGTAATGAAGAAGCAACTTGACATGTGGATGAACATTATTTATAAATTTTAATGTCTCTTTCTTTCTGTGTTCGTACTAGAAGGATTAGATCATATTTCTTTTCTATGTAGAGGAACTGATTAAGTGAAAGCTTTATTAATACGTTATAGGGTATTGCTTTCTTTTTAAGCCACTACCCTTGCCCACGTATCTGCCATTGTGCAAGCCTTGTTGAGGATGCACTACTGTAAGTCTGTAGCACTCATGTTTGTTTGAGTCTTATTGAAGTTCATATCAGGTTTAGGGGTTAATGCCCTTGTACTTCGTTATGCTTATTTTTGGTAGCACCCAGGTCTTCTTTTTTGTATTATGTGTTTTATGCCATATGGCATCATTTATTTTATTGGTTTTAGACTTTTAGTTAATCCCTACTTACACTGCTTCTGAATTTGTCTCAGTCTGAGGTGTTCGCTGTTGCTTTTGCTTTACTTGCTGCTGGTGCTGTAATTTTGACGTTAAATGTTCTGCTTCTGGTAAGGGCCTCTCTCTCACACGTACACGCATTTCATCTGGTTACATTGTGAGTATCAACTTTTTTTAGTCAACTAAATTTTTATTCGTGATGATGAGTAAAAGTATCTTTTAGTCTGTGGAAAGGATGCAATTACAACGCAATTGCATCCCCCCTCCCTCTCACATTCATCTGGTCACGTTGTGAGTATCAACTTTTATCTAGTCAACTAAATATTTATTCGTGATGATGAGTAAAAGTATCTTTTAGTCTGTGGAAAGGATGCAATTTTACAAAGCAATTGCATTATGGATATTAAAAATTGAGGGCTGATGTGCTATTTTTACTCTCCATAGTTTGTTTAATGCAAATAGTTCAGTTATCTTTTCATTCTTTTTTCTTTGGAATTCCAGGGTGGGCATATTATTTTCTTCCAGAGTATAAGTCTCCTTGGTTACTGTTTGTTCCCTCTGGCCGTTGGGGCGTTAATCTGTATGTTAAAGGACAATGTCATACTGAAAGTGATTGTGGTATCTGTGACATTGGCTTGGAGCTCTTGGGCGGCATATCCTTTCATGAGTTCTGCAGTCAATCCAAGGAGAAAGGCACTTGCTTTGTACCCAGTTTTTCTCATGTATGTGTCTGTTGGTTTCCTCATCATTGCCATTGATTAAATGCGTCTATGCACTGATTACTGGCTCCCATATGCAACTGGAACATGGCTATATAGGAATTTTTTGTGTAGTGATCAACGAATTTTTGACATTTTCTTCAATTTGTTATCCCCTTGTTCCTTGCTGGAGTTTTTTGTTACAGATGTTTGGAGACAGGCTGTTGTAAAATATTCCTTGGAACTAGTAAGGCATATGAATATGGTGGGATAAAAAAAAAAAAAAAACACTTGTATTGTATAGTCTATGGAAGCCAAATTAGACCCCACTGATTCGGATGGAGTCAGGCAGGTCACACCACATGATAAAGCTTTCCCTTAATTGGGCCTGACTTGCCTTGAATGAATCTGGATCAATCGATGGGACTTGATATTAAATGACTAGTGTTTAGTTTTTTTTTTTTTTTAAAAAAGAGTTGTTATTTTGTTTTCAAAAAAAATCTTAAAATGTTTTTAAGTTTTAATGAACAATGTTTGAATTATTTTCAAAATTAAATGTCTCCAGCGAAACATTGGGGGAAAACTTAAAACAATTTGAAGTATTATACTATATTAAAAGATTATATTCTTCTTTTAAATTCAGGCATAACTTATATAACCTTATTGATAATACTTGTAATATTCGCTATCGTTAAACGGTTTGTATAATTTTTGGGTCCTTTGTTAAATTTTTCTAAACTAGTGCGAACTTCACCAAGAATTTGTTGTAGATGTAAAAGAATCATTCAGTTTATTATTCAAAAAATTCTAGAAATGTATTCTTCCAAGAAACAAAAAGCAATAGTAAATTTATAAATAAAGACTCTTAACATACCACCAGATGGGAGGTGGGCTGAGATCTTTTCAGCAAAGTGGGCAAATTTCTCTTCTGTGCAAATTAAGTATCTATCTCTCGTTCGTGAAATACGTGCGAGCAATGTAATAGCTTCACTAGTGTTTCATCTTGAAAAAGATGACAAATAGGACAAATTAAATCCTGAATCTTTCTCAAATAGCTAGAATCCACCTCAAAACTCATTCTCACAACTTCACAATGTTTCGATTGAATTGAATATATTAAACGGCATTTGGTTCTGTTTCACGGATGGGTGCTAGAGAGCATCACGTTTGGCTACAGGAATAAAAAAAGTCATCATGATCTTTGAAAAATGAATATTAAGTGTTCTCTTTAAGGATGGCATCTTAAATAGATATATGGGGAAAGACACAGGACATTTTCTTGCTTGCTTAAAGAACCGTGTGTGCTTTCTTGCTTAAAGAAAGTGAGAGCATTTTTTGATAACACATATCAACAGCAGCAATCATAATAACGAAGACGATGACAGCTATATGTTGTTGAACTTTAATGGTGAAAAATAAAAAAAAATGTTGTGCTCTAACCTTAGAAAGGGAGCCTCATAATGGACAATTGACAAGACTTTTTCGTTGGGGTAGACTATGGTGAATATGTCTTATGTGGCTTGGGCCAAGATAATTGTTTGTTGTTACAAGCCCAAATGGCCCAAATCAAGAGATTTTTTTTGTCTTTTTCTGTAGTTTTTGACATATTTTTTTATAATTTTTTAGTTAATTGAAGATCAAGATTAATTTTTATTAATAGTTGAGGTTAGATTATACCATTTTCAAAAATTAAAGAAGAATATTGATAAAAAAAAGTTTAGAATCTCAAATGCTTATGAATATATTGTTTAGAGGATAATTTGCTCATTTGTTTATTAAAAATTGTCAGAAAATTAAATCAAAAAATATCCAATACTTATATTTATACTTATAAAAAAAGCATCAGCTTGTATCAGTATCATAATCATATACAATACTGACATAAATATGTTAAGTAATTTGAAATATTGATGCTTTAAAAGGCATTCTTATCCTTTTGCCCCACCTTTTTATTATCGATACAAAATAACATCAAATTGAATTATCAAATGAATTGTATATTTTTTTAAAAATAATTTTTAATGTTAACAAATGAATTAATGTTAACATTATATATTGCATTATTAAACTCATAAATGAATTAGTTTTATTTAATTAAAATTATTTATCTTATATTTTATAATTGCTTCCCTTATTCTTAGATGTTCTTAGGTCTAATAAGTAGAATCAGAGCAAACCAGTGATATCAAAGTCTTGATTTTATAAGGGCCTAAAAAGTAGGTCTCAAACTTAACATGAAAAACTACACCAATTGTTTGATAAATATTATAAATCAACTTTGTAGTAAGTTTTTGGATGTTGAGGGAAATGTTTAACTGGTATAAGAGTATGTTGAATGCCTTGAAGTATTGAATTTGAAATATCAACTCATAATCACAATTCAATAAGCTCTTTACAAAATCAAGATCGAAATCAAATTTGTTTGGTTCAATTTTAGGCCTTTTTTTAAAAAATAATTTTTAAAAAATTATTCGAACTCTTTAAAGAAAAAGTGAATGTTGATGTGATCTTGAACAGTCATATAAAAAGACTTGTTAAAACTAATGTGTAGTAAATGCTAAGGTTTACACTAGCTCTTTGCGTGGTTGGATAGGTTATCATTAGTAAGACCTCGATCCAACAATGGAAGCAAGCCTTAGAAACTTTAGAGAGCTACCCTCAAAACTTTTCAAGTATATATATGGTTATGTCTATCCTTTATATGAATTTAGTTGCCATTGATTGCCAACTGATACAACCAAGCCTTGCTTTTTATAATGTTCTCTATCCAATTAGGACTGTAGTATAAATACAAATCAACTTATTTTATTGTGCATTGTGAAAGGCTATTTTGCTAAATATGTTATTTTAAGTTTGAATCAAGCTAACCTACCAAAGAATGCAGGTAGCAAAAGGTTTGCTAAAATGCATGATATCATAAGACGTGTGGCTCTGCAATTAGCATGTGAACATAGGTCGAAGATGAGATTCTTTGTGAAAGATGATGTTAGGACTAGTCATCCCAGGTGGGAAGAAATAGAAAAGTTGTCTTTATAGGATTCACTATTAGAGAGGTGCCCTAAGCTTCAAAATTTTCTTAAATAATCTCATTATTCAAATCTCATCACTTTGTTTTTGAATAATTTTCTATAAGATTTTGAGAAAGATCTTCTAAATATTCAATCAAAGTGTTGGACTTGTGATTCAATAAGTTCTTAGTCAATCTTCTTAGATAAAGAAAAAGGACATGAACTTAGAACGCATGAACTTCTCGCATTCCTTAATGATAACATTTTTAGAAAAATTGAAGAATTAAAAGAAGTTGGGATATTTGTTAAATGAAATTATTTGTCTAGAATTCCCAAGAGAAGTAATTATAAGCAATGTGTCGTCTCTATAAACTTTTAGTATTTTATGTAGCTCAAGTCCATCCTATGATAAAAAAATTAATTGTTTCATGAGCTTAAAAGTTTAGAACACCTTCAAGAAGTGCAAATTTTTGTCTCTAGTTACTCCTCCTTTGAGAAAGTATTGTCATTTCCAAAATTGCAAAGATATATTTGTGAATTATAGATTGTATGTGTTTTGAATAAAAGGTTCTTCTAGATAATTTATAAGTTCTTGGAGAAAATGTAACATTTTGAAAGAATATTAGTCAATTTCCAACAAAATTCAATAGGGTTGACTTATTATAATAAAATGTGATTGAAGATCGAAATCAAATTTATATGGCTAAATTTTAGCCTTTTTTAAAATAACTTTAAATTTTATAAAAAAAACGCTATATGTTTTATGATTAAATGCATATATAAAATAATCTTATTTAATTTAGGCTTATTTTTCTTTTCACATATACTCTCCAAACTGTTCAAGTGGTATTAAAGTTAATAAGAGTGGCATCAAAGCTAACAAGTGGTATTATAACTAATAAAAGTGGTACCAAAACCTAATTTTGATAGGGGCACTACAATCAAATGCTGCATTCAATTTTAGAGACAACTTTAATTCTTTGAGAAATATAGTGGATCAACCTCATGATAAATTTATAGGTGTCGTAGTAAAGAAAATTTTTGATTATCTTTTGATTGAATTTCCTTTAAATAAAATTATTTGTTTGGAACCAATTTATTTAGAGCTTTATATGTACTTTGAGATGGATGAAGTTGGTATTATTAGCACATATATAATTCATGGGGTAAGAAAAACAATCTTATTAAAAAAGTATCACAATGAGTTTCTCTCAACAACACGATATGATGTAGTTATGTGAATTAGAGGTGTAGCATCATTTAAATATTAAAGATGACATATGACAAAACATAACATTGAATCGTAGAACTTCTTTAATATGCAGAAACTTGAAGAGGGAAAAATTTATGCTCATCCTATATGATTTGTTGAAATTAGGAGTCTCTCTCTCTCTCTCAAATAAAAGTAGATCAAATATAATAATAGTCACTTTTTTGAGAAAACATATGGTCAAATATTAGCAAGAAAATTTAAAAGGATTAACACTTTGGTAACTAAAAAATTATTTGAACTCTTCAAAGAAAAGGTGGATGTGGACGTAATCTCAAACAATCATATAAAAAGACTTGTTAAACTAATGTGCAGTAAATGCTAAGGTTTACACTGACTCTTTGTATGGTTGGGTAGGTTATGATTAGTAAAACCTCAATCTAATAATGGAAGTAAGCCTCAGAAACTTTGGAGAGCTATCCTTGAAACTTTTTAGGTATATATGGTTATGTCTATCCTTTACATGAGTTTAGTTGCCATTAATTGCCAACTGATACAACCAAACCTTGCTTTTTATAAGGTTCCCTATCTAATGAGGACTGTAGTACAAATACAAATTAGCTTATTTTATTGTACATTATGGAAGGCTATTTTGCTAAATATGATCATGATATATATATATATATGAAGCACATAAATAAGGAGAATATATAATTTTAAGTTTGAATCTTGTTGAGTAATATGGGTAGTAAAAGATTTGTTAAAATACATGACATCATAAGACATGTAGCTTTTTAATTAATATGTGAATATGAGTCGAATGCCAAATTCTTTGTAAAGAATGATGATAGAAATTGTCATCCTAAGTTGGAAAAAATGGAAAAGGTTTCTTTATAGGACTCATTATAAAAGAGACGCCTGAGTTTTTAAAGTTTCCTTAAAAAAACTCATTACTTTGTTTTTGAATAATTTTCTACAAGACTTTAAGGCATAGCTTTCAAATATACAATCAAAGTATTGGACTTGCGATTCAATAAGTTCTTAGTTAATATTTTCACAAAAAAAAAGAGAAAGATGTGAACTTAGCCGCCTATAATTTAAAGAAGTTGAGATACTTGTTAAATGGAATTAGCCACTTAGAATTCCCAATAGAAGGAATTATAAGAAATGTGTCATCCCTATGAACTTTTATTATTTTATGTAGCTTGAGTCCATTCTAT